CACTTATATACAGAAAAAAACATTCAATATTCCATGTGTTACAATAAATTTTTGACAATTTTCTCTCTCTCTCTTTCTCTCTGATCTTGTTATAAAATCTGTCATGACATTACGTTACATTTGTTGAATTTCATTTTGATCACTTTACACGAGAATATTTCATGTTGGAAGCCATATCCGGGAGTTTCAATAGTTTTATCGGAGAAAACCGTTGAGAATAGATTACTGTATATATTTCCAATACATATATAAATTAAACAGATCTACAGAAAATGATCTCTTCCGTCGTATTTCATATATTATTTAAGTTTTGAGTTTGGCCTTCTTCTTCAAGAGCGTAAATATTTTCTGAAATCGAATTCAAATTTGCGTATTACTTTGAATTTATGTACATTGCACATATTCTGATTGTACAGAGTGTATCGCTTTAATGAATTGGCCCAATTATGACGGTTGTTCCTAATTAAAAATAAAAGTTTTAATCCAAAGTTGTTTAGTTTCAAGACACTTTTGACTTGGGATCGTTCAAGATTCAAGGTCAGAATAAGGCATAATCTTATGTGTCTCCCTTGGAACTAAACAACTTATTTGAAAATATTCTTTCTAAAATGAGAAATAACTTAAATAATTAGGCTAATATATTGCCCACATTACATCTTGCAGCTATCATTACTGTTAAAAAACATGCAAGCTGAAATGTGTATTCTGTATTTAATGTTGAACACCTTCGACAGTCGAATTATTAGTTTGTCTGCCTTAGACATATTATTGCAATCGTTACTTACACGTTATTAATATCATTTTACTTACCTCCAATCCTATGTTTGTTCACTCCTTATTATTATTTTCCCTATTACTATTTATTATTAATATATTTTATTACAATGTATAGTGCATTTTCAGATTGTTTTATCATTGTTGATAATGTGACGGCAGAGCAGTTAATCAAATCAATTCCAATTGGGCAATTAATAATGTTTATTTCTTTTCTGGCATTTATTCGTGTGACTTTCCATATTGTAAATATACAGTCCCTTTAGCCACGGTAGAAAATATGTTCCAAAAATAGCTGTATGCTTGGATTTCGAGTCAGAGTGTCTCGTACATGTAAAATATATAGTTGATCAAACTTATCTCAAAAAGTGAAATATGAGTGAGAGATACGAGTGTATGTGGGTGGGTGTATGTGTGTGTATGTGTGTGTGTGAGTGCGCGTAATCTGTGACAGAAAATAAAATTTATAACTTTACATATCTGAGCACGAAGATATTAAAGGAGCAAAAATTTAAATATTCCAATCATTAAGAAATTCTATATTTGATTAGTTAACTAATTTTCTTACTACAAATTATGTAATAAAATTATGAATTAAAAAGTAAAAATACTTATTATTGGTTATACTTTATTATTATTTGTTTGCAACATTTAGTCAAGAAACATTTTGTTCCACAGAGAGAACGCAATCACTCGAATCACTTGAAATAAATCACTCTGCATAAAAGTTTATAACATACATTTCATTGTCAGAAACACTTGGCCAGCCGAATTATTACGACGCTTGTATGTAATCGTTATTGTTACTTGGTTTTGTTACATCCTTGAATGTTATTATGCAAAATTATGTTGTTGTTACCGTTGTTATATCTCCGAAAAACCCGTGTGGAAGAGTTGCCTGTTATCGATGTCCGTGTTTCCAGTTCTTATTCAAGAAACTTTATCGTAGAAGCTGTTTTGTTACTGTTTAATTGGCACCAAAAGCAAGCATATATACATACGCCCTTTATCACTGAGTTAAATATGTTGCGATTAGCGAAATACAAATCAGACGATCAATGAAAACGGTAAATGCTTAGTGTGATTTGCGCTAGAGAAATATATGATGCATTCAATAAACTTATAGTATCATTCCGACAGATTATTATATCGTAGATTACACTTCATTTTAATTTACAAACTACTTAATTTTTATTCGTTGGTTTGCGAAATTGATCGCATTTTGGTTTCACCGCAGTGCCTTAGTTACTAGATCTTAATGTACGTATACGTTAATATACTTTAAAATATTATTATTACCATAAAATAGCGGAATAAAAGTAATTTAGTAGCTAAGAATATGTATTATGGAAAAGTACACTAAGTATGTTGTGTTGTCATGACATATGTACAGAAAAAGAGAAAATGTATAAGCATTTTTTATGAATAAACTCTGTTTATAATGTATAAAATGTGTATGTTATTATTTACGTTATTATTTATTTCTTTACACTATTATTTGCCCACACCTTTCGCAAAAACATGCCGTTCGGAATCAGCGTTAAATTGAAGGTCCCATATACGAGGGTTGCTACTTATATTTCTGGCCTAATAATGAAAAAACAAATATTTATGATCGAAATTGGTTTTATTGTTTTTCAAAATATTCTCCATGATGATCAATACACTTTTGCATGCGTTTGAACCAATTTTCGAAGCACTTTTTCCACTCCAATTGAGGTAACTGCAAAACATGCGTTTTGAATGCATCAACCGCTTCTTCGGATGTCGAAAATCGTTGACCACGTAATTTATTTTTGATGTGCGGGAAGAAAAAAAAGTCATTGGGTGCCAAATCAGGGCTATACGGCGGATGACCCATCAATTCGATGTTTTGGCCGGTCAAAAATTCCTTTGTTTGACCCGATGTGTGAGAGCTCGCATTGTCATAATGAAGAATGATTCGCCTCTTCTTCTGTTTTTCTTGAATTTCTCCGATGACTTCTGGCAAACAAATGGTCGTGTACCATTCAGAATTGACCGTCCTACGGTGCTCTAACGCCACTGTCGCCACGTAACCGATAATGCCGAAAAAACAGGCAACTATTTGCTTCGATGTGCTTCTTCCGCGAACAACTTTTGTTGGATTTGACTCGTCTTGGAAGACCCATACAGTCGATTGCTGTTTTGTTTCGAGCTCATATGCATAGATCCATAATTCGTCACCTGTGTAGATGTTATACAAAGCCTTTGATGCACCTTGAACGTATTTTTTCAACATTTCCTTGCACCAATCAACACGAGTTTTCTTTTGAGCGTTTGTCAGATTATGCGGGATCCAACGCGAACAAATTTTTTTTACGGACAAATGTTCATGCAATATCTTATTGATGCTTGTCATACTAATGCCCAAAGATGCCTCAATCTCACGGTATGTCATGACGATCTTGCTTTATCAGTTCACGCACAGCATCGATATTTTCTGGCACAACCGATTTTGGACGACCTTCACGGAATTCGTCCTGGAGTGAACGTCGGCCACGATTGAATTCGTTATACCAGTTTTTTACAGTGCTGTAGGATGGTGCTTTCTCGCTGTATAAAGAATTAAGTTCATCGATGCACTCTTGTCTTGATAATCCATGTCGAAAGTTATGAAAAATAATCGCACGAAAATGTTCACAAGTTAATTCCATTTTTTGCCCGACATGAATTTTTCAATTCACTGTAAACAACACAAACCGCGCTACAATGTGTTCTTATGTTCTTATGTTCAACAATGTCAAGTTTCCAATGACAACGTCAGATGGCGCCTGGCAACACTTATTGCTACCAAGGCCAGAAATATAAATAGCTATCTACGTACCTGTGTAAAAAAAATAAATAATTATATTAAAAAAATATAATTACCTTTTTTAATTCACACACACACACACACACACACACAAAAGTAATACGTGTGTATTTAAAGTTATTATTATCATAAAAATAAACTCTCTGTCTCTTATTAGGTTATCTTCTGTTAATATACTAACGTATTATATGTGTGTAGTTTGCAGACAGTTTTGTATTTTTCACGATTTTCGCGAAGCAGTTACAATCTCAGACACAGCATCCATAACAAATTAGGAAGCTCCAGTAATATCAATATGGGAGAGCGACACTCCCGTTCAATGTTAGAATTTCGACGTTTAGTTCTTGTCGGTAAGTGTGGATAACACAATAACAATTGATCAATAGTAGGTAATTTAAATGTCTGGAAATCGGAAAGTTTCTGGGGATCGGTAAGTTACCAGGGTCGGTAAGTTTCCAAAGATTGGTCAGTTACCATGGTCGATAGCAGGCCGGAGGCAGAGTGAGGTTAAAGGATAACAATTTTTGGATATATTCAAATAAGCATGCAAGATATTTGTACTCTAGTTCGGTAAAACAAAAAATTGCATCATTAACGTTTCATGTAAGATTTTACATCGCGAGAAAAACGTATTCGAAAATTAATGTCATATTTAGGAAATAAGGTTAACCGGCGTAGTAAACAAGGACAATCTGTTATATTCGACACGATAATCTTGTGAAAGCGTGAGAACAATTTTGTATTTTAATCGAAGCAAATATATGACGCATTTATTTAAACGATAATACACTTGGCCATGTCAAAATGCTGCACGATGCCGCTTTACATCTAATGTTAGGAAACAATACAAACATTAATCGCTTTTCCTCAACTGCTAGCGCGTTGAACTTCACGTATTTTTAGGTTATGGTAAAGATTGTTTTCCAGGAAGAGACGAAAGTGCGTTCGGTGAGCGCGCCATCAGGGTTGCGTTCCAGAATTCCACTCTAATGGTTTTCGCAGGTCAGTGTGATGCGCGACATGATATCCAATAAGTGTATTGCTTTTCCAGAAGAGCTGCACGCTCATTGGATATCGCGTGTCGCATATCGCATACTGGCTGCGAGAGTCGCAGTGAACAATAAAATGGAATAGTTGCGTCTAGAAAACGTGACAGTCGGACAACAGTTGAAAAATTCGCCGATAGAATTGATCTAAATTTAAGGATCTAACAGTAAGGACCAATAATTACTTACCGCTCGCTGATAGGTTGTGTTTTCTGAACGCAGCCAATGACAGAGCGCGTGAGTGTCCAAGTGAACGAAAGCCAGATGTCTCTCTTTCAGCTAGCGCGATATTCAAAAAAGAGTGTAAAGCTCTTTTAAAAAGCAGTACATGGTAATGAATACCGAGAATCGCGTGTCGTGCGTCGTGTCGTGCATCGCGCTAGCTGTGTGAGCTATTAGACTTAAGAATATGCAGCAGCTGATTGCTTGGGTTGCTTGTACGACAATAGGTTTGTACATTTCATCTAAATTGTTATATAATTAAATGCTATTAAGTCCGGTTACACATCAATATTACTTTGTCTTGAAGCGGAACTTAAAGCTTTAAAATAGTATGGTGCCTGAAATAAGTCAGAGCCAAAACAAATGCGGCATATAAAGTTTTTTCATTTGCGCTTATCTAAGATTTCACTTAAAGCCAAAATAAGGTTGCTCGCAACTGGAAACCTTAAATGAATGAGTGATCATGAGTGTTTGCGACAGGCAATCTGATCTCTGATCTGACCGAGCAGCGATGCTCAATTGATTCGTTTCGAAAAATCCCCTAAACTAAATCCCCTAATCAGAAGATTCAAAATTGACTTAATTGGATTAGACGAAATATTCTAATATTCAAGTTGTTTTCGAAAAAAAATATCATTTTAATCGACTTAAAAATATATTAATATGACAAAGACAGCTACCGTGAATCAGATTAGTTAAGGGTACTTTTTGAAACGAATCAATTGCATATCATTGCTCGAATTAGAGAACCAATTTCTTGTCATAAACACACGATGTGCCTTCAAAACGCAAAATAATATTCTGTCAAATGAATCCGCTTCCAACCATCGTCATCTTGCTCGTATAAATCTACCATCGTAATACTATCATCATAGTACAGACAGCCGTAATAATCAACGACTGAATGTTCTTACGGCTAAGTTCGTCTTCTATTATTTCGTACAGAAAATATTATTTTATTTTTATTGCTTATTATAATTACATGCCGAAAAAAGTGTAGAAACGATGCTTTTAGCACGAAAGTGTGTAAGACGAATTCAGCCATAAGCCGCTGATTATTGCGGCTGCCTGTACAATAATAGGTTGCATTTCTCGCTTAAATTGACATATATACAGAGTGTCTCCAACTAATCTCGATTCCCGAATAATTCCCAAATAAGTCGTGTATTATTTTGCAAAATTCGCAATAATTAGTGAATAATTAATTATTTTGTCTGAACTAATGAACGTACGGGAAAGGGTAGACCGGACATTGCATAAAATAGCTTCCCAGACAGCACAATGTCCAAAATGGGACATGAGACGTCTTTTAGACGCTTAAAAACATTTGAAGACGTCTTATATTATGACATCTTAAACACGACTTCAAGACGTTTAAAAGACGTCTCATGTCCCAATTTTGGACATTTGTGCTGTCTGCGTTATTTCTGAAGATTTTCTAGCAACGATGACTTATCTGCTTTATCCATTTTACTTGCACACTACGAGAGCTGAAATTCTCAGGGAGAAATGATTCGTCGAAGTGACGTCAGATCGAAGTAATTTTTATCGTTTTTGACCTTGACTTGATATACATTTATTGCTGGGATGATTGCATTCATCCCGGATATATATATATATATATATATATATATATATATATCCCGAATGGACGTCGACTTAACGTCAATGTGATGAATCATTTCTCGCTAGGAAATATTTTATGTATATATTCTTTAAACTTCTTTTTGTTAATGTCTTTTTAATAAACAATGAGCACCGGTTGAAACTGTTTAAAAGTTACGACAATGTCATTGACAACATATGTCAAGGTTGAAATGAAAAAAGCTAGGTCCATTCAAGAAAATAATTATCCTGAATTGTTCTATAGCCAAATATATTGCAAAGGTCATCGCGACAAGTATTGTATCATTCCAGAGAAATAAACGTATAATTTAATTAATCGAACTTTTATTTGTTTTTTCAGCGTTGGGTTTGATCACTTTCTCCATCCTGCACAATATATATTCGTCGCCGCAGAATAACTCTTCTGGTAATCAATCGTCGCAGAATACGGAAATTTATCTTGCAAGAATCAATAAACGTCCCAGTAATTGAACGTGTCCCAATGATTGAAACATTAATAATATATATGTGTTCATAAATGCTCAATAAATGCAACAAAATCTCGAAGTAACTAAACATTTCTTTTCATTTATTATATCGCTCTGTATATTAAGAAACATCTTAATAAAGAAGAACATGTCACATTTTAATCATTGGGACACCTATGTTCGATCATTGGAACGTTTATCTTATACAGTGTTTTTCAGAGGTTTTATTTTAAACTTCGCTCAATTTTTAATCTATTAGAGATAGAACTGTCATTCCTTAACAGGTGACAAGTAAAAAGTATACGATCGACGAAAGTGGAATTTTCGTATTCTCACAATTTCCGTACGTTGCTGAGAAGTATAACGTTCCATTTCCGTTAACCGTATACTTTTCACTTGTCAGCTATTAAAAATTGACCCTTCTATCCTTAATAAGTAAAATGTGGCGCGAAATTTAAAATAAAACCTTTTAATGAACAATCCTGTATCAGAAATGCAGACGACGGAACCGTTCGTTATGATACCGGCGACTCAACTAAATCATCGTCCTACTGAATCAAAAATGAAACCTACTAAAGTAAGAACATAAAACCAGTTCTCTAAAATCCTCTCAATAGAGAGCGGGGTGCGGGAAAGGTACTGCGGGCGCGGGGGCTGACGCGGGAGAGGGGAAACTTTATGGTCGGGAACAGCAATCCTATTGACCAGTTAACGAGCTCTCTGTATACGAATCGACTTTTTATTGAAAGGATCGATTTGCGCCAGAAATGAAAAAATTATCGATTAAAGTATAATCGATTTTTGTCAGAAAAAAATTGATTTCCAGAAAGTTCGAGCATCAATAAAAATATAACTATCACACTGCAAATGAATTATACCGTTTAGATCAAACCACTATTCTAAACATGTACTCTGACAACGAAAATTTATCATATTCAATTGATCAGCTGATCAATAAAAAAACACGTTGATTGGCTGGAACTAACTCCTCTCCTCCTCCCAGGGATAAAAGAGCATATAAGGGCAACCAATATCCAAGAGCGCTCAGTATCAGAGCTCTAAGACCTGATGATGCAAACTGCAGTGTTTGCGAAATGTTGGCAGAACGTTGATTTAAGACGCGGCATACCTTCGGAAGCAACACAAGTGAATTGTACCAATGGCCGCGAAAGCCTCAAGACTATTATAAGAAAATAACTTCAAAACATATATCATAGAAGTATTTTTAATTTAGTAATTGCCTTATATTGTAACAAATGTTAAAATCAAATTATGAAAATACAAGGAGAGGCTATACTAGAGAGAGATTGTATAGAAAAGATGTTACTGAACAATATAATTTTAATGAGGAGGAGAGAATTAATCGTAAAAATTAGATATTAAAGAAAACTATAGTAGTTTAGTTTATAAATTAGTAAATAGTTAATAAAACATATTATTAATAATGATCTGATCACATATATAAATGTAAAATATGCATATTCCGTTCAAATCTATACTTTTACATTTTGATACCTTATATAATTTACAATTATATACATATTATATATACAGTGTATGCGGTATGTTTCGTACATTCGCTCATGTGCAGATAGAAAGAGTTAAACTCATAGAAAAGGTAGACACCATTATATGCAAAATTCGTAATAGTTAACGAGGAATTAATTATTCTGTCTGAGCTAATGAGCACACGAGAAGCGGTAGGTAGGAGCGTATAGAAAGAAAGATGTTTCACACGATATCAGAGTCATAATCGATATTGTTGTTTGCAATTGTATAAGGGTTTCCGTTCAGTTTTATCTGCTTGCCAAATTCCAAGCGTTATTTCAAATCAGTTGTCGAAGAAAGGTTGCGTACACGTTACTCACGTCGATCCGCGGCCCGCACCCGCAGCGCCCGTCCCGCCGCATCCGCCGAGGTAAGACGCGGGCGAGTACATTTTATATCCACGGATGATACTGTTCTTGCAAAGTGCCTCTTCTGATGTTCGATCGCAAATCACGAAAGCTTATTCAGTGTTCAATACACCAGAAATGCAGACGATGTAACCGTTCACCAAAACGATGATTCAATTGAGTCATCATTCTACTAAATCGAAGAAGAAACTCACTACGCCATGTCCGGCAACAACTGACTGTGTCGGCGTCTCCTACGAGACTACAAAATTAATTGATATTTACTTAAATTCAGATACTTCTCAACATCAATCCCAACCCAGTGAAAAATATAACGAATGTGGTCGCAACATTAATGTAACAGATATTAATATATATCGCAACAATGCGACGGAAATATTACCAGGACAATGGTCGTGGCTGGTGGCATTCTATTTCGTGCAATACGACTTTCATTTTAAATGTTTCGGCTCCCTGGTGACGAACAGACATGTTTTAACAGGTTTGTTGAAAAAACCAAAAAGAAGATGTGCCTTAACATGCTTAACACCTTATTAAAAAAACACCTTCTTCTTCTTTCATATTCATTTATTTTGTTTTAAAAAACACCGCCACAACTGAAACGCCTCTAAGACCCATATTAAGAATCGGATCTCGTATCAAAGACCGTCTTGAATTATCCTCAGATGCTGTACGACCCATTTTATTGGTTCCGAAATATCTGAAGATGAACTTGAAACGATTTTGAATATAAGCCCCAACTATTAACACAGGCCTGAAACATTAATACTATATGATTAATATTATATGTATTCATAAACTCTGTTTGTCGAATCTTTTAGATACAATTGTTCCCATCAGATATTTTTAAACTTATAAATTTCTTTTAGTAAATGATACGGCATTAAATTACATGTAATATATATTTATGTATGCATATTAACATTATTTATCCTACATCCCTCTTACTCCTCCCGCCTGTCCCTACAGTATTGTACATGGAAAAAAATATGTATTCACTTTTTTTTATAGTGGCGCATTGTTTTAAAAACTCTGAGCAACGAAGTCAGAATATACCTGCTAGCGCAATGTTAGCGTGTTTGGGTCAACACGATGGGAAAGATATGGGATCGACATGTCGAGAGCTCGAGAGCTATAAGGTTCATCCCGACTATAAGCACCAGCTGAGTGGTGACTCTGACCTGGCTATTGTGGTTCTACGGACTTTTGTCGAATACAGTCCTACGATCAGACCAATTTGTTTATGGAACGGTTCGTCTGATCTCCAGGATGTGGTCAATAAGTCGGCACTTTTAGTGAGATTTGACCGAGAGGACGATATCAAAATTAATCTGTCAATGGTACAAATTGCAGAAATACCAATAGTCAGCCAGGTAAGAATATCTTTGTCAAAAGTGTTTCTTTCTCCATTGTGGTCTCTTCGTTTCTAACGATGACGCATAACTATTGATTTCAAATTGTCAGTGATTGACTTTCGATCGTAATGTTATACTTATTACCTGCTGCAACACTTTGCTGTGTATTCATAAAGGATAGATTTGTTAGAACCATTATACACTTTCGATTGGAGTGATGCATGCAGGTATATCTCTTTAATCGATAAACACTGTTAAGATTCATAATTAACAAGTCAGATTTCGGGACCCGAATTCCTTTCAAATTTTATATCTCTCTAATTGCTCTTAAGCATCAAATAACAGAGAACGCGAATACCTAGTTAATTAGAGTCGAATGAGACTACATTTTATTTAGAAGAGAATGATAATGTTTAACAGTGCAAATGCATGTGCCAAAATTACATTGGTTCTATTGTAATCTTTGCACTTTTTGACGCAATAAAGTCGATTCTACGTCAATTGCATACATGGATGTTCCCATAGGGATCCTACAAATTTCCATGAAATAATTTGTAATAAATTTTGTAAACGCCTGCAACATTATTATTGCGCAGGAAGAATGTGAACAAAGCGATCGCCGCTTTGCCAATTTTACTTCAAATCGTACTTTTTGCGCTGGTTCGAAAGGCAAAGGTTTATGTGACATCGATAGCGGAAGCAATTTGGTGCTGCACAATTTAATCACGGGTCGTTATGAAATACGCGGTATGGCTGCACGAATATTATACAATGGAAATAATTGCAATAATGAACAATACATAGTGTTTATTGACTTGGCCAAATACATGTCTTGGATTCTCACCTTTATATAACTTTTGTATCATATTTTGTACATGTATGTTTCTTAACAAATTCATATATAAAACACTTGAAGATACTAGAAATATTATATTCTTGAAAACCTGTGCTTCCCGACTTATACGAATCATGATCGCGCAATGTACGGACGCATATAGTGGCATCCTCAATAATTAAGTGCGCCGGCACGTCATGTATGCGATCAATTTTATGTTTTACCGTGCTATTTTATACCATATAGGAGATGATATTCAGTGTTGTCGCAGTACACAGCGCACGCTGATGCTATCATTTTGAAATGTAAAATGCTGGCATGGTGTTCGAACAATTTATTAAGCACAATGTGCCGACGTGTACTTGTCAGATGTATCTCGATGACGCAATAACAGCATGCTGTTGCATGCTCGCGTACATTTTGCGATTGACACTTGGTTATTAGGACGGAACGTATTGCAAATCTTGTTTAGTTTCTAATATCAATCTGCTGTCAAGTTTTGTCAGCAAGTGCTGTAGACAGAACACGAGATTAATGCGAACACAGATGGCTATGGATCTGCCATAGTATTCTGATCGAATGTGCCGCCAATCTGCCGGCATATCACTAAAATTTTGAATACTGAGTATAATTATCTGTTACATCCTAGAAGAGGATGTACGCAACAGACAACACGTACTCGCGCGGCCCGAACATACTTGCAGGTCTGCGGATCAGCTTAACCCCTTGGCCTACACGATATCTGCCAATTGCGCGAGCTATAGTAAACAAGAAAATCGGTCGCGCGCCGTGCCATTCAACTGTTCAGCCGTGTACTCGAACTGGCGCAAAAAGTATACCTTTCATGACATATATATTTCAGTGCAACGAAAGGAATTGTGAAATAATAAACAATGTTTAGGTACAAATAGTAATTTTAAGACGTCTAGGGTGCAATCATAATCAATTGATCAGTTGACAAAAATAATTTATTATTTCAAAGTAGATAATGAATCAATAGCAATTTGTAAATGAATACTTAGTTAATTGAATGAAAATTAGTAGTCTTCAACTGTATGGTATCTTTCGAAACACTGAAGTACATGTAACGCAACACGACAGTTCTTACATTCCCGTGTAGTTTCACACCTTTTCTTATGTTTCGTATATACTTTGCAAGCTCTTGTTGGATTTTTCAATCAAAGGAAAAGTATTGGATGTGGAATAACTCAATTTGCTTGTTCGAATAATACGCGGCATTTTATGCACCAATTCCTCACCACGAGTCTGACTCGTGGCTTTTGTTTATGGCACAAATTCTTTACCACGAGTCAGACTCGTGGCTTCTGTTTATGGTACAAATTCTTTACCACGAGTCAGACTCGTGGTTTTCGCTTATGGCACAAATTTTTCACCACGAGTCAGACTCGTGGTTATAGGCCAAAGGGTTAAGAACCGGAAGGATCGGAAGAGCTCATTTATTCCGTTGCAGAACGTTTGGTGGTCCTTTATTTAGGCCAAGGAATTTAATCTCTTTACCTGGGACAGGACCGTAAGAAAATATTCAAGACGAGATTTCTGATTGAAGTAATTGAAAGGAAATGAACGAATAAATGAAACAAATTTAGTTAAAATTAAAACATTTTGAATAAGGTAGTTTATTATTTATGCTAATCATATAACTTACATAGTCTACCCTAAGTTGGAGTTTCTTTTTAAGTTACGCGATTCTAAAGTCTTTTGATCATTTCAACCTTGAGGCAAGACGGACACGTTCGGCGAAGCGTCGTCAAGAGAACCGAGAGTCTGCTTCAGACACATATCCTCCAATAAATACGGTAAGATAACGTTTATACAGTTTCCTGTCAGATTGATTGAACACTACTATTTCTCCAATTTTTCCGATTTTATCACGGATCAAATGTGCCGTTCATCAAATGTTTCTATCGCGAAAAGAAAAAAATATTTTATGTTGCGCGCGAAGTTCGCAAGTCGTAACATATCTTCGCACGGCAGCAGCAAGACCGTCGTTCATTAAACGTGTTGATTTGTGAAATCTTCCCCCCTTCCACCGTAATATCGTGCTTCACCCACATTTATTATTACCTTATCTCGTTTTTAGATCCAACACGTTCTTTCTAGACGAGCCAGACGATACGACCGGTCTCATGAATATATCGCGAGATACCCCACTACTGCCGTAGAACATATTTTCGATGAAATAAATGTGGGTGTGTCGACGGGTTTTAGCAGAGAACTGATTAGACGGTGCTTCGGCAAAATTTTGGTGAGTTCGTCGGATCGAATCTCCGAAAATCTGCACGCTTAACACCCGAGATAATCATTGCTGTGATAAGATCTAGTGAGTGTGAATTATCAGCGCGCCGTTACAATAGAGTAGTATATATAAGAGGAAGAGTGTAAAACTAATAAGTTATAGAAGAAACGAATAAAAATCATTTAGTTAGATTTCGTAAAATACAATATAAAAGGAGTGCCCGGCTCGCTGTTAGCGCAATTTAACTCAAAGTTATGTTTGGGGGGCTATATCGGTAGTACTAGCAACGTTATCATGACATTGCGGACGGTAATGTCCGACGTAATAAGTTCACGCTACAAATGCTTCTGTTTCCGAGATGATGTGTTTCCAATAAACGTTATATTATATAACAGTTACATTGTCGCAATATAACGGAAACAAGTAATATGGATATAACGTGGATGTTGCAAGCAATATATGTGTGAGTTGTAATTTTCTATTTTAAACAAAGTGGCAATTATATAACGTAAACGTAATATGTTACACAAATTATATTATATGATTATTATATCTATTACTATAACGTTATAAAAATATTATAAAACACATAGCGATTATTAAAACCTCTTTGATGTTGCAAATATATTACGTTTTTATAATAACAAGCCAATTTTGCTAATCATTTGGTAGTTCCATGATGGCACATTGGAAAAAGGTTCCGCTTGCGAGTTTTGTGCTTACACGAGCAACCTTTGTATATAATTTGCTGAGTATCTACGTACAAAATATTTTCTGGGTACGCAAATCATGTATATCTTAAAACATAAATCTCATCTTCGTAACAGAGTTTCACAATGGACAAGTTTTCTGTTGTGACGGCATTGCTGCTGATTTCTACAAATTTCTACAAATCATGAACATTTCTATTTTATCCGACAATCATCTTGATCGAAGTAAACATCAAGTAATCAATAATATTACATTAATAATTTTCCTTTTAATAACGTCATTATAATATAACGCATTTAGCACGTAACAGTTGTTAGTCCTGGTGAAAATAATTTTCTGTAATCTCACTTAACCTTTCGACCGTATTATAGATCAAATGATACTCTAACGTTTTCTCAGGAGTAGGAAGAATTCATATACCACGCACTTCTCTTCGCTGAATTTCCTCCATTTCCAAACACAATCCAGACGATTATGTTTGAAACGTAAAATATTGGCATGGTGTTTGTACAATTTATTATTTATTTAGATGTACCATTATGTACTTGTCAATGTCCGTGTACATATGCATCTGGATGCCACAGAAACAGTATGTTGTTGCACGCTTGGGTACATTTTGCGGTGATGATGTTAATATTTGGTTATTCGGATGGATCGTACAAGCAAATTTTGCTTAGTTTCTACCATCAATCTGCTGTCAAGTTTTGTCAGCAGGTACTGTCGACCAAACACGAGGCTGATGCGAATACAGAGGACTATGGATCTGCCACGGTATTCTGATCGAAAGTGTTGCCAATCTGCCGTCACTGCTATTAAAATTTGACATATTGAGCATATTATCTGTTACATCCTGGAAGATGATGTACGCAACAGACACTCGCACACTCGTGAGGCCCAAACGTACATGCAGATCTGCAGAACAGGTTAAGGACAGGAAGGACTCATTTACTTCGTTGCAGAACGTTTGGTCATCCTTTATTTAGGTCAAAGAACTCAATCTCTTTATCTGGAATAGGAGTGTTGAAAGGGGATTTCTAGTTGAAATAATTGAAAGAAAATGAATGAATAAATGTAATAAACTTAATTAAATTTAAGACGTTTTGAATAAGGCAGTATATTAATTATGCTAATCACATAATGTACTTATATAATCTACGCTCGAGTTTCATTTTGAGTTACGTAGTTCCAAAGTCTTTCGACCGTTTCAACCTGGTGGTTCAACGGACACGTTTGGTGAAGCGTCGTCGAGAGTCTGTTTCGGGCAGGTATATTTAAATATATATGATAAGATAATGTTTATAGTTTTCTGTTGGCTTCGATGGACTCTATTGTTTACCTAATTTTTTCGATTTTACCGAATTTCTTACGGATAAACGGCCAATTATGCTTCTATTGTGAAAAGAAAAAAAGAATTTTATGCTACAAGCGTTGTCTGCAAGACGGAACAATCTAAACAGGATAACAGCAAGAGCGGAGCCGGTTTGTGGCTCATTAATCAAGATGTTTTTGATTTCTAAAGCCTCCCCCCTCCCATCGCGATGTACAGCATCCGCATTTCTTATTAATTTATCTCGTCTTTCCATGTTCAACACGTTCTCCCTGGACGAGTCAGATGATACGACCGGTCCCATGCATATATCGCGATGTATCCCACTACTGCTGCAGAACATATTTTCAGTACAATAAATACAGGTGTGCCGACGGGTTTTAACAGAGAACGAATTTGACGGTGCCTCGGCAAAATTCCGGTGAGTTCATCGGATCGGATCTCCGAAAATCAGCACGCTAATACTCGAATTAATCCTTGCAGTGTTGAGATACAGTGAAAGTGAATTATCAGCACGCCGTTACAATAGAGTATTACAGATTAGAGGAAGAATATAGCAAAACTAATAATAACTTAAGAAAGAAAACGAATAAAAATCATTTAGTCAGATTTCGTAAGAAAGAAAATAAAGGGTCTGTCCGTGGTGGTCGTTGTCAACGTTACTTCGTGTTACTAATGCTGCCGCTCCGGTGGTGATGTGCTCTTAGCAAACACTAATATAAAACAGTTATATTGTAGCAATATAACGGAATGCAACAAGTAATATGGATATAACGTGGATGTTTCAGGCAACATATGTGTTAATTGTAATTTTCCACTTCATATAAAGTGGCGATTATATAACGTAAACGTAATATGTTACACAAATATGTTATATGACTGTTATATTTGTTGCTAAAATGTTATAAAAATAATATATAACACATATATATTATTAAAATCTTTGATTTTGCAAATATCTTATGTTTTTATAACACGTCGATTTTGTTAATCATTTGGTAGCTCTATGACGACGCATTGGAATAAGATTCCGCTTGCGTACACGAGTAATTTTATGTGATTTGTTGACTACGTGCGTGCAAAATATTTTCCGGAGACGTAAATCAGGTATATCTTGAAACGTAAATCTAATCTTTGTAACAGAGTTTCAAAATGGACAAGTTCTCTGTTCTGACGACATTGCTGCTGCAGCTGTTTCGTATGTTGGTGGAAGTGTCCGGGCAATCCCCGTGTCCTCAATACTTTACATATATAAATGATCCTTCGACAAACCAAGTAATCGGACAAATTATGATTCCGTCTCCGCCAAAAAATGTCGAGCTCCTCTTGAAAGTGGGTTTAAGCATCGCCGCTTCATTACCTTCGGTAAACATTTCGCGTATTCCTATTGTTAATAATATTTATTATTCTCAATAACATTCCGACAATAGCAAAAGTAAAGTAGCGGAGAAAATCTCACCGTACGGCTTTTAATATCAATTTTTTCGATTAAACTCGTTATTTTAAAACAGTTCAGATGTTACTGCGTTTCAGAAATATGTTGGTCGACTGGAATTGACTCAATCAGAAGAAGAGTCGATTAAGATAGTAGAACAAGGTGGACCCTTGATTTATCACGTTCATTTTCCTTTGAGTCAGCCGGTCCCGGTATTAACTAGCATAGGGCTCAATGGTCAAGTTTATTGCACAGGTCATCGTGGTGAGTACAGTGTCATTTGGGAAAAGTACAAGAGAGAAACATATATTTCCTACATGTTCCAAAAAGGTTGTTTTTCTGGGGAGAAATACATTTTCTTTACACTTCAGATAAACATGCAGTTTAATTAATGGAATTTTACATTTGTCTTTCCAGCGTTGGGATCGATCATTACCTCCATCGTACTACAGCACACCTTATATCCGCCACAGATGTTATCGATTCAGAACGCCTCTCCCAATGTTGAATTGAAAAACACGGAAACTCATCCAGGGGATATATTAGGAATACAGACGGTGAAACCGTTTGTCCCGATACCGACGACTCAATTGAGTAATAGTCCTATTGAATCGGAGCAGAAACTCACTACGCCACGTCCAATAACAACTACAAGAGTCGACTCTACTGAGAGTTCCAAATTTATTGATATTTCCATAAATTCTCATATTCCGAAATGTTTCTTTCCCCTATGTAATCTCTTTAGCTCGAACGATAGTACGTAATTATTGATTTCAAATTGTCAGCGATTGACTGTCGATCGTTAAATGTATACTTATTACGTGATACTGCGCTTTGCTATATATCGATAACGGGTAGATTTGTTATAATCATTATACACTTTAGATTGGAGTGATGCGTGCATGTATTTCTCTTAAATCGATAAACGCTTTCAATATTCATAATTAGCAAGTAAGACTTCGGAACCCGAATTCCTTTGAAATGTTATCTCTCTCTAATTGCTGTTAAATATAAAATCACAGAAAATGCGAATACCTAATTAGAGTTTAGTGAAAAATATGGTGCTACATTTTATTTAGAAGAGGATAATAATGTTTTACAGTGTATATATATATCAAGATTACATTACATATCAAATACATGTATCAAGAGTACATTAGTTCTAATGTACAAAGCAAATCTACTTTTCATGTCATACTAATCTCTGAATCTCAGTTCTTTAATAATATTCCTTCACTCCTCAATCTTTAAACGTCAAACGATTCCTTATAGTATGTTGTAAAAAATAATTATAGTAAAAATGGAATTCGAACTTCCCAAGCTTGCTAGGTTGAGCGCCATATCAATTTGGTCATCGAGATTTTGACGTTACTCAATTCAACACAAATGTTTATAAACTTATTTTAAAAATGAATAAACGCTTTTTTTCCTGAACTATCAAAAAAGATCTCATATGTAATAGCTCTTAATATATCAAACATTTTTATTATTATCAAATATTAAATATTTTTACAAATATCAATCATTTTTCATAATATTTTTATATTATAGTTATTTAATTTAATTCTTTATTTTGTATTTACTAATTGTAATTAAACAATTGCAATTTTATGCTCATATTTTTCGTTCTGCTCTAACTAATGGAATGTTTGCACGATGAAAAAAATATTCACTTGCAATCGAAATTGGATTCCACGTAAGGAAATATTAGGTTGGTGCGTATGAAATGTCGCATTCTCTTTACATGCGGACGTTTTCCTCCCTGTTTTCGTTATACTTTTGTATTTGGCATAACCTCATTCATACTCGTATTGTCCATTGCCAGAGACTCATTTCAACAAAATAGGTTTTCTCGAAGGTCTTCCCTTTTTTATTTCTTTTGAGTTTATTACCGATATGAATTCTGCCGACATTCGCGTCATTTTCTTATATGAGTACAAACTTGGTAATAGTGCTGCAAAAGCTGCACGCAACATAAACCAAGCGTTTGGGGAGAATACGGTTAACAATCGGAAAGTGCAGCGTTGGTTCGAAAAATTTCGGACTGGCGATTTTTCACTGCAAAATGAGCCGCGCGGAAGACCCAAAACGTCTGTGAATAATGATGACCTGAAGGCTCTAGTGGAAGCGGATCCAGCCGTATCCACGAGGGAACTTGCTATCAGGATGAAAGTTGACCATACAACGATATTGAGACACCAAATTGTACTCCCATCGCTTGTGAATCGGCATGGCCCGCTACTGCTCCATGACAACGCTCGGCCGCACACATCGCACAAAACAATTGCGAAACTGAACGAACTGGAATATGAAGTTTTGCAGCATCCACCATATTCACCGGATCTCTCGCCGACCGATTTTCATTTTTTCAAGCATTTAGAGCTGTTTTTAAGAGGCAAACACCATGAAAATGAAGACAGTCTAAAAAACTCGATATCAGAGTTTATTAATTCTAAAGACCAAAATTTTTTTAAGACAGGCATCTACGCTTTAAAATCTCGTTGGGAGAAGTGTATTGAAGCGAATGGAGCATACTTTGATTGAATAAACAGCTTTTGAAGAAAGATATACAGTTTTATACAATCACTTAAGAATGCGACATTTCATATGCACCAACCTAATAGTTTCCATGTCAATTCCACGTCGATTACACATATGGATATTCCCATGAGGATTTTGTAAATTTCTCTCATAAATTTATAATAAATTTTATAAACGACTTCAACATTATTGTTGCGTGAATCGCAGGAAGAATGGAGTCTATGGAACGATCAACGTTTTATCAAATACCTTTCATAACGCATTTTCTACGCTGGTTCAAGAGACAACGGTGAATGTGACGGCAATGGCGGAAACAATTTAATACTCTACGACTCGGCCACGGATCGTTATAAATTATGCGGTATTTCTTCACGGATATTAAATGGAAAGAATTGCAATCATGAACAATACGTGTTATTTGTTAACTTCGCCAAATACATTCCTTGGATTGACCAACAACTTACCCTTAAGTAACTTTCGTATCATATTTTGCGCATATACGTTTTTAATTACGTAATTGCGCAAGTACGTTTTAAATTCAGATAAAACACTCGATGGTACTAAAAGAAATTGTATTTTCGTAAGAGACCTATGCCTCCTAACTTATTACGAATCATGTTGAACATTTCCGTTCTGTCCGACAATCACCTTGATCCAGCAAACATCAAGTAAATTACGAGTACAATCTCAGTAAACAATCAATAATATTATATTAATAATTTTCCATTTGATAATGCCAATGTAATATTACACGTGTGTAGTAGTTATTGATCCTGGTGAAAATAATTTTCCGAAATCGTGTTTAACCTTTTGACCGCACTATGGGTCAAATAGACCCGGTGAGTTGCCTTTGATGAGATGCAGCGGGGAGAGAAGTGCGTGATTTACGAGTTCTTACTCTTGAAAAAATCGTTACAGAGTCGCTCTGTCCGCTAGTGTCGGTTTACAATAGGTATTTTAAGTCTTAAGAAATTGACCAATCACCACTGATTATTCTTCTATAATTCGACCGTGATTGGTCAATTTCTTAAGGCTTTAAAACTAAAATACCTATTGTGGACCGACACTAAACGGGGTCTACAATAAGAATTTAAGGCGTAAGATTTAAGAAACTGACCCATCATAATTAACTTTTCTTCTATAATTAAACCGTGATTGGTCAATTTCTTAAGTCCTATAAATTCTCCTTGTAGATCCGGCTTTCATCATCACAGCATCAAGCATCATACTATAATTGCGGATCAAAATAATAATTCAAGAAATTACGATATTGTAAGTAAAAACTAAGAGTAGAAAATTACGATGACGTCAAAGTGTGATCAAACTCACAAACTCGCTTATTTTCTCATCATTTTCACGTCATCTTCATTTTTCGCTCCACCCACGGTGCGATCTTCGTCTCCGCACACCATCATCACCATCCGCGATCGCCCTTCGTCGCCGCGTTGAATAGTCCACGTGTGTAGTCCCGATGATCGTACGACGATAACGCTGCTGCGAACGACATGCGCAGACGAGACGGACGGGGCCAGGTCGGTTCGGTCGGTCGGTCGGTTCGCGTTCGTTCCCGGTCGGGATCACGTGCCATCTGTCGTTACGGCCGCGAGAGAGCGAGAGCGGCATGTGCGCTTATCAGGCTGCTGCTGCTCTTCTTGTCCGGTAGTTTCGAAGTGTACGCGCGCGCGAGCGTCGCGAGGTAGAGAGAGAGAGAAAGATCGTGAGCGTGAGTGCGTGACTGAGAAAGAGAGAGAGAGAGAGAGAGAGAAAGAGAGATAGGGGGAGGGAGAAAACGCGAGAGCCCTTGTGACCTTTCTCGCGTAGTCCGTGGTGACCAGTGGTGACCTTCGTTTGAACCTGAGATCGTGGTGAGCTGCACGTTCCAGCCGGCCGGCTGCCTCCTTCGGTCAGTCTAGACAGCAGCCAGTACCGCGGACGGTCCGTCTTCTTCTCACCTCCGTCGCTCCGTTGAAGAAAGACACCGGGAACGGTGAGTGAAAACAAGTTCAACACGGCGGGCAGCCGCGGATCGAACGGTAGAGAAGCAGGCTGCTCTCGGAGCGAGATCGGAAGCGCGGGGAGGCGCTCGACCTTGCGAGCTTGACACGCGCCCGGAGAACGCTTTCTCCGCGTCTTCGCGACGTCACGTAACTCGGGGAACAACGCGTAGCGTGGAAATTAAAATAGACCGACGAGATCACGGGCAGTGACGTGTCGAGCGTCCGGAGAGCGGCGAGCTGCATTTTCGGGTCGGCAGAAATCCGATTACGCTCGAGTTACCGCCGAGTGTGCGCCGACGTCGGTGGATCCTCCTCCGCCGGGACTCGGATCCGGTATCGGTCGACGACGATCTTCCTCCCTGAGCATAAAGCCCGTATCGGACTCGGAGGATTGCGGATCGGTGAACGAGACTGAGCGGGGGGGAAGGGAACTGAAATTGGTCGATTCGTCGAGCCACGATCTCTTATCAGCTGTACTCTATAATGTGTATCTATAATGTATATTCTCTGATAAGAGCTTAAAATCCGTATCAGCAATCCTCTTTTCTCTGATTAGGGAGGACTTAAAACTCGTATCAGACTAGGTATTGAAGACGAGGATGGCGATTCGAGGATTGGAATTTGACTAATTACGAGAAAGAGAGCCAAAGTCGGAATTAATTGTCAAATTCTAATATCTAATTAACAATCCTCTGTTCTCTGACAAGAGCTTAAAATCCATGTCAGATTATAAATATTGGAGGCGGAGGAAGCGAATTGAGGATTAGAAAGAGAGCCAAGGTTGGAATTAGTCGTTTCGTCAAACTTTAATCTTTAATCTTTAATCAGCAATCCTCTCTCTCTCTTCTAATAAGAGCTTAAAACTCCTGTCGCAGACTAAGTATCGGCCGAGGCCGAGGATCGTGAATTGAACTTGACTAATTAAGAAAAAGAGAGCCGAGAAGTCGAAATCGGTCGAGTCGTCAAGTTCTAATCGTTTATTCATCTATGTTCGATATCGTTTGATACGGGCTTTACGCGATGGGAAGTGTTATTGACCCTTGAATCGGAAATAAATCCGCCGGCCACGACACGCTTGCTTAGAATGACGACGATGAAAAAGCTACGGCGCTCAGTAATACTGATAAAATCGCCCTCCCCTCCCCTCCCTCCCTCCCACCCTCGCAACCTGTTAATACGCTCGAATCCGACGTTCCGAACGGCGCACGTGGCCGCGAGAAATAACTCGCGTTTTTCCCTCGCCGATTGTAGTATTCCCGTATTGAGAGAGAACAGCACGTTATCGCCTCGCGCGTTTTCGCTTACCGTGCAAATTGACCGCGTAATTAGGTGACTGGATCTCGATTGAGCGATCGCGTGATTCATCCGTAATAGAAAAGCGATAGATGTTCCGCGTATAATCAAATCCGCCCGGCCGCTATAAATGATGTGCACGGAGAGAAATGATTCGAAGGGACGGGAAATTGTATGCCGTCGTAGGAAATAAATGAGTATACAGGGTGTTTCTTAAGTGTCCGATGTCATAGAAGTTGATACTTGAGACCGCCTTCTCCCAAGCAGCAGGGTGACGTCGGAAGACGTCATATTGACGTCAGAGACGTTACGTTGGCTGCGTTCGAAATATTCAGTGCCGGCGCTGAAAATCTACATATACACGTAACGTGAACTATAGATTTCCAACGCTGGAAGTGGATTTTGGAAACACATCCATTGCCGTCAATTTGACGTCCTCTGACGTCACTCTGCTACTTGAGCGATGAATGAAGAAATGAACACGTCCGTGTGAACTTTTCTTCATAAAATGACCTCGAAGGTCAACGCCTGAAGCATCGAACAGTACTCAAGAAACACAGTCGTATATTCATAATCATGTAAAAAACGTGTCATCTTTTTCAGTTATTTTACATCGTGTGTATGTGCAGGTTGCCGAGCAGCGAAGGAGAAAATGTCAAGGGAACGCGCCTCCAGACGATTTTACCGTATAGACAGCACCAATGATCTGTTCGAATTTATGGACCGTGGCTACACCGCCCAGAATGAGAATCGATGGAACTTCGAAGTCGCCTGGGAAGCCGCCAACAAAGGTGTGATTTCGCATTAGTCGTACAGTATTAGGATCTCTCCGTATGTATCGTGTATCCGACCAGTCAAAAAGTTCCATTCGGTCTCCCGCCTTTTCGGGCGGACAACCATCAGCCACTCTTCACGATTGGATCCAGACAGTACAAATTTTCGAAAGGCATCTCGAGGCCGTATCGGATCAGATATTGGAGACCGAAGATCGCGTATTGAAGACTGGAAATTGATCGATCGGGATAAACTGCGGCACGATCGATGTTCGTTGATTTGTCGAACTTGAATCTCCGATCTTTAATTTCCAATACTCGGGAGAGAAAAATTATTATATATAATTATAAAAATTACATATGTGTGTGTATGATTATACATAAATTGTATATAATTATACATGAGCTACACATATGAATTTTGTTTCTACTTGGTCACACGGCAAAGAAAGCTGTTGAGTGACGAAAGGAAAGAAATAGTTTCGTTAAGTTAAACGTCGACATCATGGATCGCTGCAAACGTTAATTATTCATACGTAATTGTTTTCTCCGTGAGAGTTCAGTGTAAAAAATCTTTAAGATTTTGGAAGATCTTTTTCTTTGGGCGTCTTTTAGAAATTTATACTGTCCGCGAATGTTGCCGGAAATTCGGCGAAGAGTCATAGACGAAAGGGGATCGCTCGGTTGACTTATTTACGTTCTATTGAACGAGGCCAAGTCAAATTTGGCTTGAAGAAACGGAACTTCGTGGCTGCTCCGATACTTACCGATCACACCACACATTCACGCGATCCGTGACTTTTCCTCAGTCGGTGGAATTTACACGGTGATAAGATCCAAAGCTTACGTGTCGACCGAAGAAATGGGCGATCAATATTGCCTTATCGGACCGTACAAGGAGACTTCGGCGCGCACTGAGGTCGAGGAGAGCAACTTCCTGCCGCAAAATCCCCTCAATCAGGCGGTGCAAAAGATGCGCGATCAGGGGTACAAAGTGAGTCTCAACCTTTGCGTTCGCGACCCGTCCATTCAAGAGGCTGCTAATCAATGATCACTCGTTGAGACACGGCCGTTCGCGCTGATGGCCAAGGGTGACGTTTTGGCCAGCCGCCACAGGCATGGCAAATATAATTCAAGGATACGCATTGTGCCCGACTGTTTCCTGCAACGCTGCCTTGACATTTGTCCCAGCATCAGTTTATATAATCAATACAGTCGACCTGTGGTTTTAGCCGATAATACAAATTCTATCGGTTCGGTCAAAAAGTTTGGTTCGAGACCTTCCAGATCTTCGGCGGTGGGCCGACCTTCTTCTACGATCAATGTCGACGAGTGCTACCGAAGTGCTCGCAAAGGTCATAGGTAAGCGATCTGGTTATCGCTTGGCTGACGAATAATTTGTTTCCGTCAAATGCAATGACGTCAAATTCGTCTCGAAAATCGAACTTTCTGACTGAGCCGATGGGGCCCAGATGGCACGGGATCTCCTTGGATCATCTTCGATATGTTCCAAATATCCTGAAACATCTAGGATACCTAGGATAGAGGATATTCACGATGATTACGAGACGTCTTGCTATTTGGGGATAAGTTTGCCAGTCGGAAACCTATCCTCTCTTTCGTTACATTGTGAAATCTGAATTTTCGAGGTGGTAACGGGAACCTGGCTGGTGGATGGGAACCCTCAAATCATCTTGTTCGACATCGGGAGTGCAGCTTGGAAACTGGACGAGTACAAACAAGAATTATGGGACAGTTGCCATTTTGGTATACCTCATCTCGATATCGAAGCTAATGATGCCGTTATATTCGGATATTTGGTTTGCCAATTCATCTCCGAGTTTAGGTACAGAAAATCACGCTGTTATTCACGATTACGTGCGTGCGCGCGCGCACGTGTGTGTGTGTGTGTGCATGAAGGGAAGTCAATAATTAATCGCACTCTATTTATAAAATTTATTATAAGAGCGGTAGAAAATTTATAAGCACTTTGTCAATATAGAGTCCCCCCACCCTTGATTTCCAATACATTTTTCCCAACGCATCACGAGTTTCTTTATTCCCTCGGGGGAAAAAAATGTACTGCCAATCTACACAAGTTTATAACGTAACTGCGGATAATTATTGACTTACCCTCGAATTTTTGGCCAGTCAAAGAGTTCGATTCGATTATCGGTAGCGTCCGATGTGGCTTCCGAGCTGACACTGAGCGCTCTTTCGAGGATTTGTACCCGACGTTTCGTGAACATTTCCCTTCACGAAGTTCTTCGAGCTGAGGATCGACCTGGAACGCAACGAAAAAACCGAAATGAACGCCGTTCCAGATCTGGATCTTCGCCCTGAAGAAGGTGGCTGACATGTTCACGACGCGAATAAGAGTCGTCGAAAGACGCCAACTCGAGAGCCGCATCGAACTCGTTTCTCCGCAAAGGCTGAAAAATCTCACGCCAATAGCGTGAAAAATAGACAAGGCCAGCGATTGCCTGACGAACACTTCGTTCCCACCGCGTGTAGTTGAATCAAATTTAATCCTGCGAAATGGAACTGAACTTTCCGACTGACCCGACGACTCTCGCGCGTCCCTCAAACTCGCTCTTTCGACACTGGAACACAGGGACGCGGCCGAAGGGTACTCGTCCGTCGCGCCGAGGGTGGTCGTGCACTGCCACGAGTGGCAGGCGGGTATCGGGCTGATCGCCCTGAGGACGCGACACGTGGACGTGGCCACGGTGTTCACCACCCACGCTACTCTTCTGGGCAGATACCTGTGCGCCGGGAAGACCGACTTTTACAACAATCTGGATAAGGTAGCTCGCGAGCGCCGCCGGTACGACGCCGGTTCGGGTGTCTCCGCGCGTGTCTAATGACTCCTCTTGCAGTTCAGTGTCGACGAAGAAGCGGGCAAGCGTCAGATATATCACAGATACTGCATGGAACGCGCAGCGACGCACCTGGCGCACGTGTTCACCACAGTCTCGGACATCACCGGCTTCGAGGCCGAGCACCTGCTCAAGCGCAAACCGGACATCATCACGCCAAACGGGCTGAATGTGAAGAAGTTCGCGGCGCTGCACGAGTTTCAGAATTTACACGCCGTCAGCAAGGAGAAGATACACGAGTTCGTGCGCGGACACTTTTACGGGTTCGTATCGGAGAAACGCGAGAGGACGCGTGTTTCCCGCAGGCGGGGAGGGGGGGACGATCGGTCGGGAGAGAGCTTCTTGAGAGCTGTTTCTTGGTAGCTATATCTCTTCGCTGCGGTCATTCTGACTGTCGACGCCGGAGAGTTTTTATTTCCAAAATTCCCGCGGCATTTGCCGGAATAAAAGGATACTTGCGATCGATCGAGCGCGTTTGTAAAATATCCTCTTTTCTTTTACTATACGAATAATAAATAGCTGTGAAATTAACGTGACAACATCGTGAGAAAAGATGGACTGAAGAGGAAGATTTCATGTTATGTAAATTTTATCAGTTACTTATGGTTCGAGTTACTTTACAGTTACTCATTGATTGTTGGAGGAAAAGAAAAGTTCTCGGAATATTTGATAAATGTGTTCGTTCGATCATAAATGTTATTTCATAAATGATATCCTTTTATTTCCGCGACCGAGTGTGCGAAGGAAACGCGAAATTTCCGGTGCTGAGGAAGGAATTTGCTTTGTGAAAACTAGAGAATCTGTTTCCTCCGATGAAAACGCGTTCGATTTGTTCAACGTCGATTCAACCGATCTTTTCTCCCTGTGTATATCTTCTGTTCCTCTCCGCTGTCCGCCTTCGTGCGACACGCCCGCTGAATTTCACGCTGTGTGTGCTTGCAGACATTACGATTTCGACCTGGACAAAACCCTGTACTTTTTCATCGCCGGTCGTTACGAATTCGGGAACAAGGGCGCCGATATCTTCATCGAAGCCTTGGCCAGATTGAACCATTACTTGAAAACATCCAGGCCCGACACGACCGTGGTCGCTTTCCTCATTTTCCCCGCGAGAACCAATAACTTTAACGTTGAATCTCTCCGTGGCCACGCCGTGAGTCATTGCGATGCAACATAGAAAAACAAGTAGAAAAACAAAAAAGCGTTAATATCCTTTCACAGTCGAATCGTTGATATATCTCTCTTCAAATTACCGTTCTCAGGTAACGAAATCCTTACGAGATACCATTAACGATATACAACAGAAAATAGGGAAACGGATGTACGAATTATGCCTTTCTGGTCGTATGCCGGAAGCCGAAGACTTGTTACAGAAAGAGGATACTATTAAAATCAAACGGTCCGCCAACGTAACCAACGTAGCATTCTCGTAATTCCGTTCTCGATTCACGCTTAATTCTCGATTTCCTCTGGCAGATGTCTTTACGCACTCCAGAGGAATGGATTACCACCTATTACGACACACAACGTTATTGACGACTATAATGATCCGGTACTGAACGCCATTAGGAGATGCAATCTCTTCAACACCGTCCACGATCGCGTTAAGGTATGTGTACAACGGCATATGTATCTTTTACATGCGATGTAAAACATTCTGTAACATATATATATGAACAAAAATATATATACATATATATATATTTTTTTTTCATATAAATATAATATGCAGATAGTGGCATAGAAAAATCGTAACACACTTATTTTGATGAAATCCCGAACGTATTTGGTATTTAATACAAAGGGAATGATTAGAAAATATATTCTCTTATTGGACACGGATGCGAGCTTCGTCGGGCAAAAAGAAGCGATCTTTCTGCCACTGACTGTTGGGCAGAAATGACGCGCATATTACGCGTCTCGTTTGCAGATGGTATTCCATCCGGAGTTTCTTTCGTCAACGAACCCGCTGTTTGGCCTGGATTACGAGGAGTTCGTCAGGGGTTGCCACTTGGGCGTGTTCCCCTCGTACTATGAGCCGTGGGGGTACACGCCCGCCGAGTGTACGGTCATGGGCATTCCCAGTATCACGACGAATCTGTCGGGTTTCGGATGCTTCATGCAGGATCACATAGCCGACCCGATGAGCTACGGCATTTACATCGTCGACAGGCGTTTCATCAGCCTGGAGAACAGCGTGCAGCAACTCGCGCAGTACATGTTCGAGTTCGCGCGGCTCAGTCGCCGGCAGCGCATCATCCAGAGGAACCGCACGGAGCGGCTCAGCGATCTGCTCGACTGGCGGAATCTCGGCATTGTAAGGCGATTGCGTCTCCATCATCTCGCCTTGAATCTCAAAGCCGTCTCGCGTCGTTCATTGCGTTCGGTTTTAACAGTATCATTTGGGAGAAAAAACAATTCCGTTGGGGGAAACCAGACGAAAACTCGGTTGCACGTTCTCTGCTTTATCTCTTCTTATCTATCGCCGTTTTAATGGTTACTATTTGTTAACGGGAAAATTATCTCTGTGTTTTCCATATTCTCTAGTCTTTCTCCAGTTCTCTCATCTTCCGTTTCCTTCTGTCGCCAGTATTACCGCCAAGCGAGAATCAAAGCGCTGACGACCGTGTATCCGGAGCTCCAGTCGGAATACGCAGAGGGTGGTGTCGGTCGATTCACTTATCCACGACCAATCAGCGAGCCACCGTCCCCACTGTCTTCGCGACACACGACCCCGGCTGTGTCTGAGCACGGGTCCGACGATGAGGACGAGGTCGATGACGAGAAAGAGGTCAGCGAGCCGGCTATCGCAACATAATGCGATGGAAACAAAAAAATTATACAGGGTGTCCCAGAAGTCAATGGACAATTTTACGAGCACGTAGAACGGATTGAGATGAACGAAAAAGTCCCGTACCATTTTGCAAACAAAGTGGGAAATTGCCACCTATAGGCTCTTCTTTAATTAATAGCTTGACATTCCGCATGTTGTTCGCAAAATGCTGCAGGATCTTTTTGGTTCTCATCTCAATCCGTTCGACGTACTCATGAAATTTGTCCATTGAGTCTCCTGGGACACTCTGTATATGTAAATCCGTCGTACATGTATAAATCTGTACGAGGTAAGTGAGATTTCACTTGTACGCGCTCACGTGTGTGTGTATATTTGTGTCGCAGTTGGCGGAGCTACGAAATCCAAGCGGCAACTAAAATGAAGACGGGGAAGTCGAGAAAGTGAAAGAGAAAGCGATAATAAGCGATTATGGGCGGAAAGCAATCACGTGCGGTAAAATGTAAACCTTTTCGAGACTCCTGGGTAATCGCTGCAAACTGTCCTTGTTTAACGACGTCCTAAGCGAAAGAACGCATGTCAAGAATTCTTGCGTTATGTGTTCAAATAAAAAGATACACTCGCAAAATGACGCTCGTGATCGATTCGACACACATGTAAAATTGTCCGTGGACTTTTACTCGGATGAGTAACAAATAGTCGTAAAATTAACATTGACAAAATCACGAGAAAAGAGATTAAGATGTATGGTTCCGTGTCAAATTAATTTTGCGGTTGTTTATTGGTTGTTCGAGTAAAAGACAAGTGCACGGACAATTTTACAGGTGTACTGAATCGATCGTAAATGTCGTTCTGTCCTTTTTATTTCAACGAATAAGAATTCTTGACATGCGTTTTCTCGCTTCTGACGCCATCAAACAGTTGCAGCGAGGTGCCAGGAGCCTTAATCGAGGAGAGGAGACCGCGTGACAGTGCCAAAATCTTAACAGAGATTCCTTCGCGGAGTATATCCACGTATATCTACGTCTTTCAATTTCGGACAAAAAGTTTTGAAATAAAGTAGCCTCGTCGTTTGTGTCGCTGCCACACTGCCTGCCTCTCGCGCGGCGCTCAACGCGCGAGAGACCTGAGAGGAGTCAAAGAGAAACGCAGCAATACTCGCAGCACAGCTCACGGTCGCAGTGATCATTCTGTTTTAGAGAAGCAATAATACTATTTATTACATTAGCTTTATTCGTGAACGGCATAACTCGCTTCGTTTGTTTCTTATCCAAATTTCTGATCATGTTTATTCGATATACCCGACGTTACGTGTTCGGAGAGGGGGGGGGGGAGCAATATTATTATATATTAATGCGTGTGCGCGCGAAACCGGAGGTTCGAATGCGCAGAAAGGAGGAGGAGGAAGAAGACAAGATATTCGTCCGTACATGCATCATACACGTCCTACGCACATCGCGCTTCACACTTATACTTGACAATATAGTCGGTGAGAATTTGTATACATATGTGTAATTATACGGTATGAGTGGAATATATGTTCCTATCGTGTGTAGAAACGATGATATTTTTATTAGAATTGGCACTTGAATAAAAATTTCTATCGTTCGCGCGTTCTTTTCCTTACCGAGTTACTTCGTTACTCGCGCCCTTCTCCTTCCCCCCGGACCCGTCGTTCCCCGCGGGAAGCGATGATGTTGCGGTAATCACGTTGGAAAAAAGGTAATTACGCAGGCGATTACGAACTACGAACAGGTAACGCAGAATCGATCTCGTCGCAATGAGTGAAGAGTGAGAGAGATAGAGAGAGAGAGACGATCCAACGATAATCGAGATTGTTTACTTGGCGTGAGAGAATTATCAACATAATATACAAAAAAAAGAAGGAGAAACGAAATGACTAAGTTACATCTTTCGCGATACGATTATAGCGTTTTTTTGGCGTTCCACGCGCGCTTGTATCTCTTTTGCTTCCATCAAATTATCTACTACATATATGTATATATATCCGTTAACTATAAATAAATATTTACACATTACAAAACGAGTAACATATTACATAATCGATAACAATAATTATAATATAGCTTACTGCACACAACAAATACAATAATGTACAACGTCGTCGCGGCTCTCTCGCGGGGCGACGACAACCTTCCTACCGCGTTTGACGATTAATTGACGATAAAAAGAGACGATAATTTGGAATGATCTTTCTTTCTTTCTTCCGTCGCGCCCGGTTAAAAGTTAATCGTAGTTGTTAGTATGAGATTCCGTATCGTGTATCTCTCCTTTACGTCATCACCCACTCTCGCCATATTGTCTCTCTATGCTAACGATTTACGTTAAAAAATGTCGACGCTAAATATAAAATACTCTCTAGTCTCTAGCATATTATTCGCCGTGCAACGTGTGTCAGTTAGGAATTACATTAAACCGCCCTATCGAGAACTCGCATCTTCTCCCGTCGCTCTCTGTGACACGGAGCGAGCGAGAAGAAGGGGGGGGAGGGGGGATAGAAGAAAAATACGAAAACTCAAGTGTACTCTCGAGTGTGTACATCTTATTGATTAAGAAATCGCTCCGAGATCCTCCGCTCCTATAAATATCTACGGGTCTGCCTCCAACGGAGAAAAGAAAAAGAAAAAAAAAGGAAACAAAGATTAAACTCCCGCAAGCGATAAATTAGAGCGCAAGCACGATAAGTACTATTACACGGCATCTTTACTTTAACCTAAATGGCACTCATTATACATATTAAATACAAGAGCTCCTTTTGCAGAGAGAACACTAAGAACACGGCGACTACGTTAGTTTAGAAATCGAGTCTCTCCCGACGCGAGACGCGTGCGAATTGTAAAACGGAAAGTACGCCCCGCACACTCAGTATCGTTCAGCGTGATCCTCTAATACTTCGATTTTTCCCGATGCGCAATTCCTTTCCGCAAAAAAAAAAAAAAAAAAAAAAAAAAAGTTGCACCGGGACTCGGTTCGTTAATTGAGCAGAATCGTCTCTCGAAGCGAAACAGCAGGGATTCTTCCCTTCCGCGTTGCACGCGCGAGGAGGCGATAACGCAAGCTCGATCGCCGCGAAGAAGACGCGCAGCAGTTCGCGCGAGCGAGTCCGCAGCAACTTTCGCTCCGTGTGGTCAATCGTTAAAAGAAGAGGGAGACTGTTTGGGAAACGCATGTTAAAACCACCGTCAGAGATTACAGTCGCGGGCTTTTGCACGTCCAACAGTCCTAAATGCAAAACAACACAAATACCCGCGGACTTTATCGCCACGAAAAATTATCAAGCCCCGTTAAAAACGCGTTTCACCGATTCTCCGATAAATATAAAATCGCTTTATTGGCAACCTCATCGCCGGCCCCATTGAGAAGCCCGTTGCTGTTGCTGCTGCAGTTTGTTCGTACTTATTGCAACGCGCGACTATTAACTCTAGATATGCTTCTCTTTACCTTCGTACTGGCAAGTTTACGCTGCGTATGTTTTATTACGACCTTCCGAGAAAGCTTCAATTGCGGACGAAAGAATAATACTCCGTTTTTAGACCGTTGGTAATACAAGGACAACCTTTGGTTACATAATGAGAACACTAATATTATTACAATACCGTTCAATGTGTCGATATATATATATATATATATCTGCTTGAAAACGCTATTTTACTAGTCTTTAGTTAATTGGCATTTCACGGCGTATGGCCTCAAGATACGATGAGTAGTTCGTCACGACCGGTGGCTGAACGTATCCATGGTACTCTTGTTCGCGCGATTTCCACTCGACAGCTCGTCGGAACGAACGGCGGACTTCGTGCGAAGATCCCGAGCGCTACCGGTAGCGCCAGTCGAGGAGTAACTCTTTCTCTCTCACACACCTACCACAGCGCAGAGGGAACCTCGACGGATATTTTGTGCTGCCGGATCGCGTCATAAGGTGAGTCGCAGCAACCGGACGAGTCTGAGTACGGAATCAGTCGCGAATCACGTCCGCCCCTCGGAGACGGGGGATGTAATCTACCTGGCGACGGGGAAGGGGAACGCCACACGCGAGTTTCCGCAACACACACGAATTGTCCGTAAACATAAGATGCAAATTTAAGCTGGAGATCCGATCAGAATGTTGCTTCAAAGATGTATGTACTTTAGAAGAAGATAGAATTCTTTCTCTCTCTTTCCCTCTCTCTGCCTTTCAGAGATTCATGATCTATCCCCAGAGGGTCTCTTTTAACGTGAACTCGTGAAAAGCGTAAATTTCCTCATTTGAAAACGTATCACTTTTCCCGTTTTCGTAAGGGGAAAACTACGTGATCGAGAGACCGAGGGTAAATCCGATCGTAAGTAGAAGCAACTAATTGCCTAGTTGAAATCCTAGTTATTCGGTGTGAGTCTTAGTTACACATCTCCATCTTCCTCTGGATTATACAAATCTAAAGCAATATCCTGATTGTTTTCTCAGCTCAAAGAACTGTCTGCGATAGCCGTGAGGTAAGACATAAGCAGTAAGTTAACCGACCAAATGAGTTTTCACAGTCCAAGGATGATCAACTGTATCAGTTGGTCAATCAGCTCACGGCATGTGTCTTATTGCATACTTCACGGCGATCGTAGACGGTCCTCAAGTTTACATCTCGGTTTACGTATTACGGTTGGACGAATTTCTGTGCGAGAAGGTCCGAACGGGCTTCCCTCCCTTCCCCGGCCGCGCGAGACGCACTCGGCTGTCCTTCGGTCGCCAGAGGACTGTCAGGGGACTGTCAAAAATACGGCGTTTGAAAGGAGAGAGATACACACGCACATATTCAAACATGAGACACACACGCACGCACATACACACACAGTCGATCTCGCTACCATCGGAGCCTTCCAAGGCTCCACGACGAGCCTACCCTTTGATCGATTCTCACAGATGGACGGATTTTACATGTGACCCGGCTGAGTGCCCCCCATCCTCTGTTGCATCATCGTCAAGAGCAGATCGGAGTACTGCTGCATCATACTGACTATCTTTCCCTGATCCTGGCCGGCGAGCAGCTCCTTGAACTTCGCCGTCGCCTCGTTCGCCATCACGCTCTCGCCGCTCACGTCGTTGGTGTGATTCTCGCCGCCGGTCACCACCAGCCGCAGCGTACGCATCGTCTCGTTCACGGACGACTCGAGGCCGCGCAGCATCGTGTCCCGGTCGATCGCGCCGCCGGCCGGGTCGTCCTCGTTGTCGATCGTCAGCCGCTTGTACAGCTGCACCACGTTGTCCGCGGTCCGCGTCAGCTCGTCCGCGATCGTGTTGCACAGCTGGGTGGACACTGCAAGAACGTGCGCGCGAAGCGCCGTGTTACCAACGTCGCGAGCGTCGTCCGCGATATCACCGGTGTGCGACGCACCCGATATTTTGGGAGTACCCAATGGATAGAGAGAAGTAAATGATGTATCGTGCAGCGTGCAGGTGTTTCACATCGGTTGGAAAATCCGTACGAGACCATGCTATCATGACTGAGACGTCTAAATCGAGAGTCGTGCCTAATGACGAGCTATGGACCGGCGGCGACGTCTAACGAGGGGAACACCGCCAGCTTGAACTCTCTCATCGACTCGGACGATCCTTTTTGTGGGGGTGCATGTGGAGTCTCTCGAGACACGAAGCAGCGCAGTGTGTCCTTCTATTCGCGCCATATCGTCCTTTAACACGTTGACTGCCACGGAACTTTTCACGATTCTGGTCTAAGAAGCCAATTTGATTTAATCAAGTAATGAAGCGACGAGATAACTCGTAGTTGGCGTCCTGGGCAAGTAAACAACCTACGAGATATCTCGTAGTTGGCAGTCAACGTGTTAAGGATATGACGGTCGATTTCAGGTCGTAAAGAACGCCTCTGTATTTTCGCGTACAGATCTTTAATCTATGAGAAACGGAGAGAGATGTTCGGAATGAAAGTTCAACGGTGAGTTAAGGGCTATACTTGAAGTGACGTAAGCTGGAATTTAAAGAAATTTTCTAAAAAGGTTGAAATAATTTTTTAAATTCGTTCACGCTACTTTCTAGGCCTTAACTGACCGTTTATATTTTCGTTCTAAATATTTTCCTTCATCTCTCGCAGATAATTGATAATTATTTAATGGTAAGTTAAGGGCTACAAAGTGATATGAAGGGAAATTAAAATGTTTTCCAAGAAAAATGGAATTAATAAGAAACATTATAATAAGTAAATAAGACTATAAGAAAAATTAAAAGAAATTTTTCAAATTTCTCTACTCGTGTTATTTTGTAGCCCTTAAGTCATCATTCAAGTTTTACATATTCTAGACATTTTTCTCCGTCTCTTGCGGTTTAAAAGTTATACGCGAAAAACAGAAGAGACCTCTTGAATTTTAGATCGAAAATTATACCTTTAACCACTTGCGGTGAAAAGACGTGCTACCCACGTCAACATGCTTTTGTTACCGGAACGCCAGCGACGTGTTACGCACGTCGTTGAGCGATTGTTGCAGAAAGATAAAAGACGTGCGTGGCACGTCCACTGTTCAATAAAATTCTTTACCGAGGCACAGTTTCTGCTTGCTCTTCATCGTGTAAAGTTATCAGTATTGACCCCAGACTATAAAATGGAAAGTGATAGCGAAGCCAGTGATATTATTTCTATAAATAAACGGAGAAGACAAGACAATGTAGAGTCTGACAGTGATTTAGAACAAATTGTTTTTCCAAGTCGGAATCGGCGTAGAATTCTATCGGACGACGAGGAAGATGTTCAGAATGAGAATAGAGAAAGGAATGTTTCATCCCAGGAATGGATTTGGAAAGACGCGGAAAATATAACGCAAGTATGGGAATATACAAGAATATCTAGAATANATCTTTTAAATTAATGAGAAAATACGTTAAAAGTTATAAAAAAATATTTTTTTACATAGCAGATATGGCACTGCTCAATTCATATATTTTATATTGCAAAAAAATGGAAATACCAAAATGTAAAAAGTATTCTTTTTCGAAGTTTCGAATCGATGTAGCCGAACAGATTTTAGAAACAGTATGTCTTCCTGATTACCAAAGACGTGGAAGGATGTCTGCTGGAAATGCTCCGAGTCGCTTACAAGCAAAGCGATGGGGACATTTCCCAAGAAATATACCACCTACAAACGCCAAAAAAAATCCACAACGGAGGTGCGTAGTATGCGCTAAACATAAAAAACGGAGTGAAACTACATGGGAGTGTAAAACATGTCTTGTAGCGTTACACATTCCAAGTTGTTTTGAAAAGTATCACACCCTGCAAGATTATTAATAAATAAATTTAGTATTGATACAGATGTAATTTTATCCTTCTGCCTCTCTATATTCTCTTCGTGAACCCTCCCGCTGAACGCTGCCTGAATGCGCCGCGAAGTGATTCCCGCTCGATTGTTTTGCTACGCGCAACCGAGAATCTCTTTGCACCGCAAGTGGTTAAAGGGTGAAAGGGTACGAATATGCATACTTTTATTCATACCTCGAGTCACCCTACATACCCATAAAAGTTCATCCAAATCGAGGAGTTCAGGCTCGCGTTGTTTCCCTGTAAATGTGAATCTTATGAGTCTTCGAGTGGCCTACTAATGATTCACTTCTGAAGATAATAGTCGAGATCGGCACGAGTATGAAATGTATGATACACTTTTATACACAGTATATATATATTGTCATATATACATATAATATATATATATATATATATATATATATTGTCAAGAGGTACTCTATCTGAAGTATAAAATTCTACACGGAAACTAAGCGCCATTAACTGCATCGGAAGGACACATCTCTCGGGTGTCAGCTAAATGAATGAGAAGCTGAACGGACGGTATATAAACGAGAAGAAGAGCGCCGTACGAATGAAAATCGAGCACGAGACCCCTCCTCTTCCCCCGGGGACCCAACTATCGTGTATCTCGGCCCGCGAATTTCGAGATCGCAACATGTAGCGTTTCATGTACAGCCGTTCCCGTCCGCGAACTTCGAAACAGTCACGAGCATTGGAAAACGAGAAACTTTCCTGCCATAGCATGATCACTTACAAATTTTGGGTACAGTGAAATTACATTCACAGCACAGCATTCTCAATAGGTGTCTCTAGATTACCTAATGCTTTATCCGTGCCTACTGCAAGAATAAAATTGACATTAGATCGATGTCTCACAGAGATCAGTCGTCGGAAGGGGAAGATTAACCGATCGGCGTCGATCGACTGCATGCGTCCGCGAGAGATTTCACGCGCGGGAAAGACGGCGTGTGTCGTTGTTGTTATTATTATTATTCCTGCGATCTTGCATGCTTACACTTTCGGATGACGATGCGAAAGGATGATTGTGATCTCTTTCTTTCTCGCAGACTGCGTTCCAAAATTCCACTGTGGCAGTGTTGGGAATCTCATAGTATACGTAACACGAACTATAGTTTTTCAGCGCTGCCGGTGAATTTTGGAACACAGCCTCTCTGTCCCCCTCCTCTCTTTCTCTTTCTTTCTGTGACATGTTTGTTCTCTTATACTCACACTCGGCACTAGCTACATCGATAGCACGATCCGTGTCCTTGACCGGTAGCTCGTGCGGACTCGGCTCCAGCTGATTTCTGCTCGCCGTGGACATCCTGCCGCTTCCGCTCTGCCCGATTGCGCTGGCGCCGCCGCCACCGCCGCCGCCCCGGCCATTTGTTATTATCGTCGACGATCCGGACCTCCTCACTGTCGTGCCGGGTAAACTTAAGCTAGAAGGAGAATTTTTTTACACTTAGAAACGCGCCACCGCACAAGTGAACAGTTTAATATATGAACATTATTAAGTTCTAAGTGAGATAAAATAAACTGCGAATAGGCAAGTTAATTTGGTGAGATTTAAAATCAATTAGTGAAACGATTGAATTGTTGGGATTTTGCGTTAAAACACGACGATAAATTCCGAGCGAATGCTGAAAGTACGCTTACCTAGCGGAGGAATGATCGATGCTGATACTCCTAGGCCTCGGCGGTAGCGCCGGCTTTCCGTTCGAGGAGGTGTCTTCCGAACTCGAGTCTTCCTGGTTTCCCACTTGACTTAGATTGACTGCAATGCGATGGAGAATTTCGTGAGTAAGCGCGACGGAACGGATGAAACGGGGAGCACCGACGTAAATGGCCGTTTGGTTTCTAACGCGAGCCGAAAATAGAAAGTCAGATACCGGTCGAGAAGGCTCCCTGCATGCCTCGTCTTCTCAAAACCGACGGGAGATTGCCGCCGGACGAGTTCGACTTGTTCTGATGATTGATCTTGTTCTGCGAGCTGATCGTCGGCCTCATCAGGCCGCTTATCCTGCTGTTGCCCGACTGACCGTTCCACCCTCTGCTTCCTGCCGTTACACCGCCGGCATCCGACTCCGAGTCACTCTGCGACCACAACAATCATTGTTATCGGACGGTCGAAATAACTAAATGACGACGATAATTGTCGCTCACTGGGAAACACCGCAAAGCCGAACCCAGTCAATTTGGACGAACAGTTTGCGGCTATGAGCGGGACGGTGAATAACGGGGTGGATAAAAGTTGACGCTCTCTTGGATTTGAGGTCGAGAATCGTGCCTTTAAAGGGAGAGGACACAAATATATGTGTATCTTTATTCACGTCACCCCTGCATATTCACAAGGATCCATTCAAATGATTAAAGAGCTCGAGTTTGCCGGTGTATTCTTGTCGGTACCAATTAAATCTCTCGTCGGACATGACGATGCGAAGCGCACCTGATTCAGGACGCCGACGCTGCTGCTTCTCGTCATGTGGGTCGAGTGATTCTTCCCCAGGGTGTGCCTGGACTGACCGGCGGAATTGGTGCTCCCGGATCCCGCCCTTGATGCGACGTTGGTGTTTTTGCTTCCTAACTTCCCTGGAACTGTCGTCGCCGATTAAGAGGAGGCACGACGAATACTTTTGCGGCTTATCGAACGTAATGATTCGTACGGGCGTGGAGACGCAGAATCGCAATTTCAAGACGTTCCGTACGGAATGATAAAGAGATGGTACCTTGTACGGGGCCATGCAGTAACCTATTCGAAGGGTTGACGGAAAGATCGCTCAGCGAACAGGCGCGTCTCATGCCACCCCGTTCTTCCTCGCTGTCAATAACTTTCGACGAGATTCGCCCCCCACTACTGGCAACTGTCAAAAAGGCGCACACACATGCACTAAATTGCCTACTACGTTTGCGAGCGACGCGTCTTCTCTCTTTCTCTATACAGAACACTGAGCACATCTTACTCTCGGGAGTAGATTTCAACAACAGACTGCAACGTTAAAACCATCGCTCTCGTCGATGATAAAAAGACACATATAACGATATAAAAATAAACAATAAAATCGAACAAGTGTCTGCGTAACACGTATCTCAAGTTGTATGCAAAAAATATTCAAAAGTCCAAGGCTCAATCTTAGTCTAATAAAAGTCGAAAAAAAGGGGGGGGGAGAAACTCAATGGAGTACGGGAGTGTAAAAACGACATCGAGCTTCTTGCACAATTCGTCAGTGACAAAACAAAGGGGCTTGACGGGATATGAAGCGGTGATCGGGCGGGAGGTGGGGTCGGGAAGGGGGACGTCACGTCGAAATGAGAAAAAGCATGCCGTTGCATTCCGTGTCGCGTGGAACATGACAGAAAGTAGCAACGAAGCCTCCGCACACACGCGTCCTCGTGAAACTAAAAACGTTCAAACTGAAAAGTAATTTGCTGCCGCCTCGCGGAAAACGAAATCGCATATATATATATATATATATACACGCACATATATAATGTACAATCGCAAAGCGACGAGGGGAAGAGCCGATCTCGCTGGATTACTTTACTAGGACAACGACTCGGCGTCTAAATCTATCGCGCACATTCACACGGACGACGTATGTACACAGGAATGGCGGGTATGAGGCGTTTATCCTCGATCGTCGGAACGGTATGACGGTGAACGTGCTGCCGAAATGCGATCGCTCGCTCGTGTGTGAATACATTCGCAATGTATGCCAGCTACACATACGTTTCCTCCGCTCGCTCTCGGAATTACGTACTCTACATACATGTACATATATAGTGAAACGTGAAAATGGCAGGCACAAGCGCATTCTCTGTATCTCTCTACTTTCTTTCTCCTTCTTCCTCCCTCTCTCCCGATACCTGCGTAAGGATGTTTCGTAGGCAGGATCGCCTGATTGATCGTCGGCAACGTTTTCGTCCACCTCATGTGGCTCTGACAGCGCGACGCGGGCGGCCACATTCTCTTGGGCGAGTTGGTGCAGCTCGAGGCGGAGGTGGAGGAGCCGCTCTCCATCAGCGACCTGTCCATCGCCGACACGTCGGCGCAGTCGCTGTCCTCGCCGCCCGAGTGCAGGCGCATCTGGTCGCGCTTCACCGCGTAAAACCGGCCGTCCCGCTCGGCCTCCAGCTTCGCGAAGTTCTCGCTCGCCTCCTGACAATGCGTCAGCCGCAGGCACCGCTCCTTCATGAAGTACTGCTTCTGCCTGACCAGGTTCTCGAACTCCTTCGACAGGAGCTTCACCGTGCCCTCGATGGCGCGCGTGATCCTCACGTCCACACTCGCGTCCAGGTTGTCGATGCGCTCGTCGGCGCGGCGGAAACTCGCGCCTTGCAACTCCGCCGTCGTCGTCGTTATCGTCGGTAGGTTGCAGAGGGCGCCGGCCTCCAGAGAGTCGTAGTCCTCGCCGGTGTCCTTGGTGGGGATCTCGTTGTCCAGCCGACGGATCCTCTCCTGCTCCGGCCCGTCGACGACGGAGGAGGCGTCGCTCGTCAGGTAACGGCTCTTCCCCAGAAGCGAAGGCTCGTCGTAAATCGCGACCTCGGCGGTCGGCGCTACGCCGAGGTTGCCGTCGTTCCGGTGACTCGGCAGGCTGAAGAACTTGTTCCTGCTGTCCTTGTCGTCGTCGGCTCGCCGAGCGCCGTAGCTGGCGGCCTGCAGGAGCTGCTCGATCGTCTCGCTCGGATGGTGGTCCCGCTTCGCCGGACTCGTCGCCGGGACGCAGCCGTCGGCGTCGGCGCTCTTGCCGGCGGGCGAGAGCGGCGGCGTGTCGACGTACTTCCAGGTCGGGCGGGCCCGGTTGCGCATGCTCTGGGTGCGCGACGAGTTCCTCTTGGGCTTCGGCGGCTTGTGAGCGACGAAGTCGTTCAGGATCGTCATCATCATCGACTCCGGCGGCCTCGGCGGCACCTTCAGACTGTTGCTGCGCGAGATCGTCTCCGCTTTGCCGCTGATCGCGTCGTCCTTGTCGTGGTCGGAGTGGAACTCGTAGTAGACGCGCGTCTTCGCCGGCGCGTCCTCCGCGAAGTCGCTCTTGGCGGTGTTGATGATCCGCGTGTCCTGCAGGGACTTGGACCGGAAGACCGCCCGGCAGAGCGCGGCCCCGTCGTCGGGGCGCAGCGCGTCGTCGTCGATCTCGTTCGGATTGTAGCTCTCCGAGTTCTGCCGCTTCCGCTTGTAGTGCGAGTCGAAGAGCATCTCCAGCGGCGCGGACCTCACCATGGAGTCCGAGTCGTCGGTCAGCACGCTCTCCGTGCTGCGGTGGTCGGCGTTCTCGCGCAGCGGGAACATCTGGTAGTCGGACTCGTCGGTCAGTATGCTGTCCTGGCTCCTGCCGGCCTGCATCCGCCGCCGGGAGAGGAAGAAGCTGGCGCTCGAGTGGCGGTCCGGGTCGCAATGGTTGTAATCGAGGATTTCGGCGCTGCCCTTGGAGAAGGACTCGACCGAGGCGTCCGAGAGCACGCTCTCCTGCGAGCCTGACAGGACGCGCCGCTGGAAGTTCTGGTAGCTCGAGTAGTTCCTGCAGTCGTCAACGCGGATGTTGATCTGGTAGTCGCTGACGCAGCGCCGGGGCGGGTTCTTGAAGTCGCCCTCCAACGAGTCGTCGCTGAAGTTGCCGTTCCCATCGTCCACCTCGTCCGCCATGCTCTCCTTCAGGTTCTCCAGGTTGCGCTCGTTCATGGCCGGCAGGCTCTCGAACGACTTGGCGAGGTTCTCCATGTCCTCCTCGTTGTCGTCCAGGCCGATGAAGTAGCTGCACGATCGGCGCTTCTGCGCGAACCTCGCGAAGCGACCCACGTCCTTCTTACACTGCTCCCGCAGCAGCTTCAGCTCCTCGCACACGGGCGACTCGGGCAAGGACTGATTCGCCTTGTTCAACGACAGCTTATACTTTTCAGTTTTCTTTAGTGTCAACGTCAACGGACGGCTGAGAGTCGGCTTGTTCGCGCCCGGACTTTTCGACCGGCTATCGCTATCGCTCGGCAATTCTAGCTTGGATAAGGCATTCCCAACACCTTGAGCCTTGTTAATGAGTTGCTGGGGTTTAAGCGCGGGCTTCGGGTTTAACGTGGGTTTGCGGGGGTTGTTAGTCGACTGTGAGAATTGATTTTGCTGACTGGTTCGGTTACCTGTACTGAGCCTGTTCGCGCGGTGATGCTTCTCCGGTATGTGGCTGCTCAGGTCGGATATGCTCTGGCTGGACTTCAGCGACGATCTGTAGCCGACCTGTGCGAGAAATAAAAAGGGAAATGGAAATTAACCGATTCGTCGGAAATATAACGATTAAAGTCGAAACTCTAATTTCCAAATGTAGCAAACAACGATTAAAAAGGATATTTCAGGCTTTCGTCTCTTTTGAAGCTAATTTTTCACTTTGAGATGGTATGGCAATTCTGTAAGAGTTTATGAATGAGATATATATTTTAATTCCCCGTAAGAAGATAGAATATTTCTATTTTTTTCGTCGTGACGTTTTCGAGACCGTTGTAAGAAATGTCTAATAATCAGCTGTTTAAGAGAAATTTTCCTCTTAATTTCCCGAGTATAAAAGATAAAAATTAAAAAATGGCATCATGAATATGTTGTTTCATTTTCACATCTCTCATATCGTTAATTTGCAATAATTAAAATACTATTTCTCGCGAACTACAGCCAAATAATTTTTATAATTGTCATACATCCCGTATCAACGCGTAGGCGTGAACGGAAAAACTTAAAATTCGAAAAGGATGCACTTTTCATGACACGAAATTTGTCGACCAGTGTGTTACGAGTCGAGCAGCTCTACATGGGCACGTTACTCTGAGGCGCGACCTCGTACTCACACTTTGCAATTTCCTCCTGGTCTCCTCTATTCTCCTCTGCAGTTCCTCCCGCTTCTTCACGATATCGGCGTCGCCCCTCGCGTGCTTCGTGGCGTTAACCACCGCCGCGTTGCGGATCTTGGAGCCGGTGTTGCCCTCGGCACCGCCGCTGAGCCTGCAACCCGTTCGTTTTCCAGGTTAATCGATAATCGTTTCGGCGAGAAAAGCCGTCACAGCCGCCTAAATAATCGGGTCAACGGTGACTCGGCGAATATTATCTTCACCTTCCGTGGAATTGCGAACTGATGCTCGTGGCTTTCACGCGATTCGGCGGCTCCTCGGCCCCGCTGAGCGACTCGAAGGCGTTCTTCAAGTACTTCTCCCTGTGACTTTGTTTGGCGAGCTGATCGAAGCCCTCCGAGCTCGCCTCGGACAGCATCGACAACGGATTCCTCTCGGCGCTCGGAGTCGACGCTCCGCCCTCCGAGTCGGACTCGTCCTGACTGCCGGACGCGGTCAATTCGCTCGTCCGGCCGTTCTCCGCGTTCTTTAATCTCTTTTGCCGCCTTTGCGACCTGCACGTCCGAAGAATGTGCGAAACTCGCGTTACCCCGTGCGAGAAGTTCTCGGGCCGATTTTTATTTTCAAGAGAGCAAGAGAGAACCGGGGGATAAAGCGGAACTCTCCTCGAACGTACCTTCGCAGCTCCTCGACGTCCATCGCGTTGACGGTGAATTGATTCGACACGATGTCCTCCGGGGGCGGGTAATACATTAACCTGTGGTGCGACTTCTCCGAGCCGGTCGTGCCGTTCTCTCCCTCGGAGTAGTCCTCGACGTCCCCGTCGTGCTCCGTGCTCTCGTGGTCCTGAACAACACACGTCATGTTTTCTTTTTAAATAAAAGTAAGACGAACCGTCACACGTGTAAACTGTAAAAATAATTCGATCAAAAGGTCGAGATTTGAGGAGAAAAAAAAAACACACGTAACGTGCACAAGCCATAATGTATGAGACGATAATATCAACTGAAACCAAGGCGGATCAGCAGAAACATTATTTACGCAAACAAATAATAGCTGCATTTTTCTACGAAAGAAACAGACAAAAAAAGAAAGCGGCTCTGTGTACGTATTGTCGTTGAGAAAAAGGTGATTCCTTCGCGAATGATAGTTTCTCAGGGCGTTTCTCACGCTCAGGTGGATGTACCTCGAACTTAAAGCTGCCAAGGCTGCTATCGTCGGTGTGATGACGACTCCTCGACTGACGTGTCAATTCCGTGACATTGTTACTTCTTACAGTCACCTTACCATCAATCACCTACGTGAGTGATTCAAATCAAACGTGATCAACGGGCCAAGTATGAACGACAAGTCGAAGGTTGTCGGTTGCGCGACTCAAATAAAAAAAGCAAGCGAGAAGCGAGGTAAATCGATGAAGGGAATGGATCCGTTATCGTTGGAGTTTATAAGCGTGGGCGTATGTGCATGTGTGCGTGTGTGTGTGTGTGTGAAAAATCGAAAAGGCAACACGCATGCGTCAAGACGGCAAATTCGGAACATTCGCAACTGTGGTTAGTACCTGTTTCGAATCGCTTTCTATCTCTCTATAACTTTCCAAGCAAGGTTGAAACACGCTTTCCTCCTCTTCCTAAAATCGCAATTCTCAATGTTAATGCTCCATGTGTCCTACACTCAAAAGCGTAAATAATTCCATCGCGCTGTAACTTCGAGAAGCCTTTCGTACCATCGTGTAACTGGATGAGCATGAATATTATTAAGAAAAAAAAAATGAAAAAAAAAATTTTTTTTTATGAACGTCGTTCAGGATAGAATCCCTCAAGACATCTCGGATATTTTAGACTTCTTAAACATTGCATAAATAAACTAAAAACTATATTTAGTAATTATCTATCACCTAAATAATAATTTCAGTCTCATACGACGTTTATATAAACAGCGTTACGCAATCTCATAAATTGAAAAACATGTTAAAGGTTTCCGAACTTGTAGGAATACACGGTGCTGTTACCCTTCTCGTTAGACGAAATTCAACCAACGAAAAGGCAATAGAAAGAGAGATCATCCACGTTCAAACGTCTACTTCTCACTTTCTAGATCCGTCAGCACGAAAGATCGAAGAAATCCTGCCTCCAGCATTGTACATCGCTGGTTCAACATAAACCAGATTCTTACTTGAGAGACTCTAACTCCGAGTATTAGCGGTTGTTGCGGATTTCTATCGCGGGTCACCCGGTCTCTCCCTCCGATACGAACCCGCTTGATGATCATCGCTTCCCGCCGATAGTCGCTGCTGCACTTCGTCTCGGTGCCGCTGTCGATGGAGCTGTCCTTCGAACCGCCGCCGCCGCCGCCGCCGTCCGAGTCGATGGCGCCGCGCGACGGGGGAAACGGTATGACCTCGTCGCTGTCGTACACAGATTTGACGGTGATACCGTCCCCTTGCTGGACCCGTTGGGCCCACCTCCCTTTCGGCAGGTCGACACCGAGCGACCTGACGTTCGAGCCGAGTGCCGCACCGCCGTCGTCTGCGCTGCTCGCGGCGGTGTTGATCTGCTTCTTCGCCCACAGCGGCAGCTGGCCCACGCTGAACCGGTAATCCACGCCGACGCCGCTCTGCGCCGTCGGGTTCGCGTTGGGATCCAGAAATTCCGGCGGGGCCGGCCCGAAAGTGTCGTTGTCCAGCTGCACCTCGATCCCGCCGCCGTTCACCTGAGGCGGTTTCCTGCGGAGGAAATTCGAACGGAGATGCTGCGACAGTTCCTTCTCAACGGGATTTCTCGAGTCGTGAACGGAAACCACAAACGGGACAACGGTGTATACTGTACACGTGACCTTAAGTTTCACGTGACAGACGCCGCCGCTCCGATCGTTCGAGGGAAACTAGCAAAGGTATCTCGTAAATTCTCGCTTTGTGTCAATCGTATCATATCAGATTGACTCGGATATATCCTTCCTCACGCGCATTTCATTTCATTCATTGGTCGGCATGTATCTACTCGAAAAGAGCGCTTTGTTCGAGCCAAGCTTCCCCGGTGTTTCACGGGAAGACCTACGAATCGATCGACCTAACGACTTTACGTTCGTGTGTATACTCACTTGCCGGCGCGCATCGCTTGCTGCGCGAGACGGGCCTGCATAGTGACGACCATGTCGTGCGGGACGCGCCACACGAACACGCAGCCGTCGCCGCTCGCGGACACGAGGTGACGACAATCCGGACTGAAACGCAGACCCGTCACCAGTTCCGAATGACCGACCATAGTGGCCATGCACTCCCCGCTGTAATAGTCGTACACACACAGCGTTTTGTCTGTACATGAGGTAGCTACGTAAATGCCGGACGCGTCTGGAAGAGACGAAAGACGTGAGAGATTATAGGTCACCGAGTCATCGAAGGTTGGGGGGGGGGGGTTTTTCTGTCCTCACCTAGGACGACTTTGATCAACGAGCCGTCCTCGCCGACGGAACCCTTGAAAGTCTTGCTGTGTTTACCCGTAGTTACATTGTAAACCCTAATGTTCCTATCCTGGCAGGCAGTTAGCACGTGCTTTTGCCCGGAATCGACCTCCATGTCGTACAGAGTGGTCTTCCCCTGGGCGTTGTGACCCCTCGCGAATTGCGGCATCCCTCCCGGTGTCTGAAGCCGGGGTAAGAAAGTCGGTGGATAAGGTTGCGCCTCCGCGAATCGAAATTGGGAGGGAAAGAGAGAGAGAGAGAGAGAGAGAGAGCAGAATCTTACCGATTGCAGCTGTCTGAAAATAATGCTCTTATCGGCGCCGCAGGACACCATCTGTATTTGATTACCCTGATTCGTTTGATTGAAAAATCTGACGGCAGTGATGGAAGAACTGTGATCGTCGAGCGTCTGCAGGAAATTGTATCCTTGATCCACGCTGAAGACGTGTATCAGCCGGTCCCGCGACGCACTCGCCAACAGCCTCGGGGCGTCCACGGAGTACCGCGAGAACCTCGAGTATTCCAGGCACAACACCTCGGCGTCGTGCGCTTCTATTAGGCACAGCTCCTCGAGCGACGAGACGTCGTGAATCCTGATGTTGCCGGATCTGCGGGAACAATGCGCGCGGGAACGAATCGCGCGTTACCCTGAGCGTCTTTCTCCCCATCTTTCTCTTTCTTCGGGGCTTCGATCGCCTGTATTCATTCGATCTGAGCTCACCTATCGCCGGAAGCGAGGTGCTTGCCGTCAGGACCGACCCTTATCGATCTCACGCCGTTGCGCCCGTCGTACGAAGCGTCGCTCTTCTCCGTGGATCCGGCCGCGGCCAGGTCCAGGTCCTTCAGGTAAGTCAATTCCGGATCGACGTATAGTACCTTGAGCAATTCCTGTCGGCAACAGAGAGGGGAATCCCGGAGGAATAAGACGGTTCGCTTCTTTCTCGTGGTCACGTGACGCACAGGCCGGCGTAACAACGTTAATATTTTTTTATTAGGCCTGGAGTCACCGAAACTTTTCGTCCGCGTAGTACCCGCGTATTGATATGTTCGTTGTCAGCGTCACACATGTGTGACGCACCGATCTTTCATGTCAAGCTCAGCTCTTTGTTCAGAATTATCGTTTTTGCTTCACGCATTCGCTATCGGCGTCACGCGTGCGCGACCGTTTTTCTCTCGGCGTTATATCCACAATTATATAAAAATTATAAAATTACACAAGAAAAAATATATAACATTATTTATAATAAGATGTAAAAATATACAAAATTATTTGATTATAGGTAAAAAATAGATATAAAAATATTCTATAAAAAAATATTAGGTGGTATATGAAGGGATTTCTCATATAAATCGTAGTGACATACGCATTAACGTGATCGTGCGTCATGACTGATCCGATCGATCAAGAAAATGAAGGGCACACTCACGTTGCTGTAAATGTTTCGTTTGTACAAGGTGTCGTTCGGCGAGACGTCCTTCTCCAGATTCCAGACCCTTATCGTGTCGTCGCTGGAGCAAGTGATGAAGCTGCCAGCCGGCATGGCGCCGATGCAGTCTGGACCGGCCGGATACATCTCGACGCCCCAGATGCAGGCCGAGTGGTATAGGAACGAATGAGACTTGCCGACTCGCCTGATGTCCCTCACGTCCCAAACGTAGATGCTGTGGTCGTTGTAGACGCAGGTAAGCTTGTTGTTGCGCTCGTCGAACGCCAACGCGATCGCGTCCGGATACCTCGCTTCGGGTGGGTGTTGGGACATGTGACTGGAAAAGTAGCCAGAGCGTGGACGCTGAGATAACAACGGTCGTGAGCGAGCGTAGCGAAACGGAGGAATCGACGCCGCACAACGTGAAGAACAGTCGATCTGATGGATATCGCGTACGTTGAATTATGACTTTAAAAAGACTATTGAGACTCGGATGGCAAACAACACCGGTGAGAATGATAAGAGCCACGGACGTTATAATTTAAACGATAGTTGAAAAGGTATAATTATTCGAACGTAATTTGAAAAGTAATTTAGAACTATCGCTGGGCGCGATAATTTAAATCTTAGCGCAGAAGGGCGAAATGAAATTAATTAGAATGAAATTATCGCGCCCGCGCAACATCCGGCAACATAGCTCTCATCGGCTTAGAATTTCTTCACTGGTTGTTTACCGTCGAAACGTTCAATATCTTTATGTTTGAAATAATAATTCATTGTTGCGTCCGGCATCCGACATGTCGATTGTTAATTACTACTCGACGTTTAGTGGAAAGCACGTGTAATGGAGTAAGAATTACTCGACGAGTAATTCGGTTTCGATTGAAAGACGAATTATTTCGCCTCAGGTTGTTCACTCGTCACACATTGCGCGATTGAGAGAGGCGGGTGTTAGCGATTAGGAGATATTTTCTTACCTGATGGACAAGCCTTGCGCGACATCGACCCCCAGGTAATGCGTCCTCGGTAAGGTGGTGATAAATTGGAGCGTGCTAGGACTGAAACACCTAACGATCCCTTCGGCGCATCCGATGAAGATGTATTTATCGCCGACAGCCATGCAATTGGCGCTGCTCGTCTGTAAAAACGTATAGACACCGCGATATCGCTTTTTCTCGTCCTTCCGGATCGTCGACCGCTCGCGGTTTTTCCGCCTCTCGTCGCGCGCGGCGACGAGACAATATGTGTGTGTGTGTGTGTGCGTGTGTGTGTGTGTACATGTACCGTGTGAAGAAGCCGAGTTAACTCGGCCAAGCAAAGTGTGTGACTTACTCGCAGCTCGACCCATTTGTCCAGGAGCCTCCTGTTGTTAAATTCGCACAGCAGGCCCGTTTTGGTAATCGCGTACGTGGAATCCGCCATTTCCCCCCTGCCGCAGGCTACGTCAACGAAATCGTTGTTCCTCTGCTCGCCTAATATGGCAGATCGGCCCATCAAAGGCACAGGTTCCTTGTACTGCGCAATGGAGAATCGCGTGAGCTACAAAGCTATCTTTGTTGAAAAAAAAAAAAAGAAAAAGAAAGAAAGAAAGCAAACGAGCCGCTCTCGTACTCGTGTCAGAGAGAGAGAGAGAGAGAGGGAGAGCGGCGCGAAGAAGAAAAATTACCTTCGCGCTGCGTGAATACTCCAGGTACCAAAACTTGACGTGCCTGTTGCCCACGGTGACGAAATAATTGCCGTTTTCCGCGAAGCAAACGGCCTTTACTTTGCTTGACACTTTGTTCGACGCGACCTTAACATTGCTCCTCCAATCCCAGACGTTGACGATCATGTCGTGCTGCGAGCCGACCGAGACGACGTACTTGTTGCTGGGCGAAAACGCCTGGCAGATGAAAGCGCGTGAGAGAGAGAGAGAGAGAGAGAGAAAGAGAAATATAAATAGAGAAGGAAAGGGAGAGGAAAAAATATACTAAGGAAGGATGCAAGATCGGAGGGTATCCTCCGGCTCGCTCTTTGTACCCCCGCAAATCAGCTTCGGGATTAATCCGTGGGACGATCTCGATTAATATAATTCAAGGTACCGCCGGCGATATTGCATACCGTGGATCGTGCGTGCGATATCGCGAACGATAAAAATCTCTTTTTTTCCTCTCTCGTGGCCACCGCGAGGGGAACCTGAGAAAATCTCTCCTCGCGGCAGCGCGTTACGGGAACACCGTGGTGTATGTACTACGTGTGTACAATGAAAGGAATACCGTTGCTTATTCATTGGAAACGATTCGGTATGCTCGTACTTGGCGCCTCGCGTCGACGCACCGGCACGATGCACGCGGAGCGAATGCGAGGCGAAAATCGCGCCGGAACGAAGAGAAGCCCCGAGCGATCGGATCCCGAGCGAACTTCGTGAGAGAACGATCGGCGGAAAGGGCACGCGAAGGGCCTCCATCGAGCGATCGGATCGCCGAAGAAGTGCTTGCATCACGGAGAGGCGACTACGTCAGTGTAACTGAACGATTCGCTTGAGAACTGAATTTTAAACTTGAGTCAAATGTTAAGGTAAAATTACCGATGCCCGCATAGAAGAGAAGCGCTAGATTCGAGTAAATAATTACACCCAATACTCCTTGGCAAATATTTGTACGTGGATCAAGCGATATTTACTTGACGCAAATAAAATATTTTCCCAATAAAATATTTACTTGATCTACGTGAAATTTGCTGAGGAGTATTGGAATAATTACTCACTTGAATCTAGCACTTTTTTTCTATGCCGACACGTACCTAATTCTGAACACTTCCAATGTTTCGGATCTCTTAATATCTTAATTAAAAGAAATTTAAATGAAGATTTTAATAAAGAAAAAACTTTGAATATGAATATTTGAACTTTCGACGTAGAATATATGTATACATATATTGAATGTATACATACATTCTTTACTTTCTTGGGCGAAGCATTCACTCATGCGATTTCGAGTAGCAGTATTTATCCTGTCGCTCGGAGAGAAAACGCTACCCCGCTTTTCACTTGTACCTGAGATTCCAGAGAAGAATTTCGAGGAAATTTAGAGAGCGATAACACAGTGCCGGTGTTAAGTCGGTTCAACCGACGTGTTTAAAAGCCGTCCGACTTTTTGCGGAGCGCTCGTTGTTTGCGGAGAGAACCCTCGCGTTCTCCGGCGGTGTGTTTCACCGAGAAAATCAATTGCTCAACTTTGCGGAGCGGTTCTGGGAATCTTGACCTTAAAAGTACCCGTTCCCATTCGACGACGACGACAACGACGACTAGGACGGCGGGTTAGTAATAAAAGCAGGCGCACAAGTAAACGAAGGCGCGAGCACGTTCGCGGTTTGATGACAGAGCATATGATCCGCAATTCATAGTGGCCGGTCGAGAGGTGCTTTTTTTGCGGCAATGCCATTATCGACTGCGAGCTAGAAATAGACGTGGTTTTTCCTGTGCGCGCCAACGCGCGATTTACACCGAATTCACACTATCCGGTCTAAACGGCGGCAGAAATCCTCCGTTAAAATATTCCCCGATATCTTCGTGTCAGAGAGTGCTCACAGTAGCTCCGTTAACTGTCGCAGGAAAATTTTGCCATCGGACCATTTAGTTGAAAATGCCGCTATTTCGTTAAGTCTGCATCTTTTTGGTTCATCTGCATTTTTTCGGCCCGAGAGCGATAAGCACACATATATTCTTACAGATTACAAATTTCCTTGGTTTTCGTGTTACAGATAAACTGAAACGCTGCAATCGTTGCCGCCGTCTGGCCGGATAAGTGTGAATCCAGCCTTAAGCCACGCGTCCGCCACGCAACTATCCTTTCTTACCGTGGATTGTAAAACGCGCGCCGTGTGTTACGTTATGTCATCGCGTTACGGTAAACAAGGGCGTGCGCGCGCGCTCGCTCGCGGCCGGCTTTCTCGTGTGCACGGCTCTTCGGCTTACGAAAGAAGCCGCCGGATTAACGTTTTGCAGCAGCAACGGCGACCGAGAGTTACAGTTACAGCCGAAGTCGGCGATTGATTTACTCGCGATTTATTTATTCGAACAACAAACGGGATCGGGCAACGCGAGGCATCAGCGCAGCTGGAGGAGGAAGAAGATTTACTGAGAAAATCATGTTTGGCGTTTGTAACTATACGGTGAAAAATGTTATGTTACGAACGGTCCACTTAAATTTTTGCACTACTTTAACACGGGAAATTGTGAAAAAGTACGTTGAAAGGGAAAAAAAGCTAACATTCAAGTAAATAATTACTGTGATACTCTTTAGCTAATTTTACTTGAATTAAGTAAATATTACTAGAATGTAGCACTTTTGCCTTTCATACACAATGTACACAAATATGTTAAATTAACATGTTACCTTTTAATACATTCACCTTGTTGAAGTAACGCAAAAAATTGGGTGAGCCGTTTGTAACAAGATTTCTTTACCGTGTATGATCGGGTAAGTAAAAGATTTATAGTCCGAATTATTTTTTTAGCGAGCGTTACTACGATGTCAACGATAATAACCTTGCATATCGTTGCTACTATTTTGTGGGTTAAAACTAGAATAATATATAGTCGAGGCCGAAAATGACTATAATTTCAGTGGAATTTCTCTCAGTGAAAAGCTGTCAATTTGGACTATCCGGGTATCCGGGTAACCTAGATTTTTCAGGTGTATTACCCGAATCCAGATAACTGAGTATATATACGGTTAATTTCGAACGTTACAATAATTATTGACTCTTCTAACGATAACAAATAGCATACGAATGTAAGTCTGTGCTTTTAATTGAGCCACGTTGCACGTTTTGCCGTTAAAGTGAAAACAAAAGAATCTAACCTACCATTAAGAAGCAAAGGAAAAGGATCGAAGTTCCAGTACAGCACTAGTTCGATTAAAAAAACAGGTCTTATATGTATACCCAGGTATTCGGATAATCTCGGGAGGATCCGGGTACTTCCAAACTCATCGAAATGTCCGAATTATACTGAAGGGCTAGGAAGAAGGCGCTCGGCGCGCGTACTTGGACTACTCACCACACAGTTGATACCGTATTTGTGTCCGGAGAATTCTGCGATCTGCACGGCATTGTGCGGATCGGAGATGTCCCAGACACGAACGTTCGGCATGTGGCCGCATTCGCCGGTGGCCAGAAGCTTACCGTCCCCAGCGAGCGCCAGGGAAGTCACGGTCTTGCGACAGGCGTTCAGCACGTGTGCCTGGCTGTTTTTCCGCGGATTGAAGAGCACGACAGTGCAGCTGCAACAGGGGAACGGGATAGCGTCCGTCAGATAACGTCGTCAAATAACGATAAGTTCGCTCACTCTTACAGCGCACCACGATAATTTAGATAGAAGCGATAGAAGAGTGAAGTGAAATCGGCACACTAAGACAGAGAGAGAGAGAGAGAGAATATTTAAGAAATAAAAAATATCTATTCGGTAACTTAATTCTAAATTTCGACTCAATTTTAAATCCAAACTTATTTGTTTATTATTGAATCTGAATTATTTTATCTACTCGTAGATATTATAGAATAAATAATTCTCTTTTCATGAAAAGCGGTTTTAAGAAAATGGATATTTTCTCACTCGAACACAATCTTTTCTCAGTGTGGAAATATCAATACAATAAAAGGAAAATAACGCGCGTGTCTAGCGACAGCCGACACGATGTTGTCAGCTAATCGCAGACAATCGCCTCTCGCAAGCGACAATATATCGCACGTATCACGGGTGTACCGTGTGGCTCGCAACAATGAGACTTGTTCAGGGAACGAATTTATCAGGCGAATATAAATTAATTCGTCGTTTATCTTGTACAAAATTCCAAATTAATATTCACAGCAGAAAGAGTTCGGCCGTCAAAGCAATCGTCGCCGTTGATCTCGGGCCATCGAGAATCTCGGGCGGCCGTCTGATTCCATTGCGGAAGAATGCCCGACAGTTTTTTCCCTCGGTCTTTACGCCGATCTCACGTTCGAGAATTAATCAGGATCGGCACGGGCGAAAGGCCGCATTCCGAATTCCAATTCGTCGCCGGCGATATTATCGATCGCGCAGACCGCAATTACCGGGGTCGAATTAAGACTGCCGCTTTCTATATCGGTCGAAACGTTTTCTTTTTCCCCCTTGGCCGTTCTCCACCGGCTTTAATAGAGATCGTAAATCCTAAGCTCGTGAACCTTAATCGCTTCAAGTTCACCGAAAGCGGAAGTCGTCGCTCCCGTCGTTTACTCAGTCGCGACTTTTTCGGCCGGCACGCTTTTTCGCGCCTGTCATGAGGAGTGATAAGAGGCTACTTTCTCTCGCGCCTCTATCTTCAGCCACGGTCATGCTGGCCGAGCGCGGCGGAACTCGACAAGTCGTAACGAAGTACACTTCGTCCTAATCCGGCGACAAGAACAAGGAAACATGCTGAGCCAAAGAGACAAACAGAAAAAGAGAGAGAGAGAGAGGGAGAGCGAGCGAGGGAGAGCGAGTGAGGGAAGAGCAAATAGAAGACCAGCGGACCGCCGGCGTTCTACTCGAACTCTCGAGTACGCTTAACATTCGCTTAACAAACGCTCCTCGGCGCTCGAACAACGAGAGACTCTAGTCAAGTCGTAGGATACCAAAGCGCACTTTATCCAAGTGCGATCTCAGCGAGGGAATCGCGAGCGATAGCGGAAGCGGCTGCTCTCGGCTCTCGAGACGCGCACACGCGCTATTTGTCCCGCGTGCTTCGCAGATCTCCGGACGCGGACCCGAGGGCGACGACTGCGACGACGACGCACGCGGAAATTACGTAACGCGCATCCGCACAATTCGCCCGGCGAATACCGTATGACCGTCCGTCCGTACGCGTCTATATACACACATCGACTTCCGGTTAGTTCACTTTCAGGCGCGAGAGAAAAGGCGCATGGCATTAACGGACGACGAGGCTCTCTCGGGGTTAGGGACCTCCTCCTCCTCGCCGACTCTGCGTGCGTCTCGTCGCCGTAACGGCTCGCCGAAACCATTCGAATGGCCGTGACGACCGGCCCGGTCTCTCCTCGTACTCTTTTCTTTTCGTCCCGCTTCGCTCCTCCGCGTTCTCCGCGGCCGGGAAGCGCCGACCGGCGTGTTCCTTACGTAATTACTCGGACGAGATCTGACGCGGGCGCGGCGATGACGAGATATCCCGCGTTCCTCAGAGATAACGAGAATAAATCCCGCGACTCGTTACTGCGCGCGCGCGCGCGCGCGTAATTGTGAATCTTATTCACGTTAATTGCATCCCGAGTTAACCCGAGTCGAAAGACTCGGGTGCTGAACTTCGACGCTCCCGAGGAGTTGGCGCTTACGTGGATGATGATTTATGGATTAGCAAAGACCTACCAACCTTTGGCGATACTGCATCTGTTAACATTTCTATCTTGGGTGTTTAATTCCGCACGGGCGGAAAGTTTGGACGAATATGATAATGAACGAATCAAACGCGTTCTCGTCGAAATGCGCGGGATATCTGCTTCTTACGCGGCGAGTTCAGTTTTTATTGAAATTCACCAGATATTCAGCTTTGTTCAATCGAAACGCGTTTGATTTGCTCATTATTTATTATTTGTTGTCATTATTATTTGATAATTATTAAAATCAATTCAAACTTATTCTTATATGTATAGGTTTAACTTTAATGCTACTGTTTGTAAAAGAAACTATTTCGACGATGAAATAGCGAAAACAGAAATTTAGAACATCATCATGGTCAAAGCAGAAATAAATTATATTATTGGAATTCAACCTATTTTTGTTATTTTATCTCCAGTTGTGTACTTGAGAAAAGAATATTTGGTATTTATGATTATAATAACCATAATTATACCACATACCATATAGTACAATATAATTATAATTAAAAGAACCATTTTTCTAATTCCTGTAAAGTCAAGAATAATAACTTTACATCTATATTGCTAATATTATTTTAGTATTTTTTCATAATTTTGTAGTTAAAACTAAAGAAGAGTATAAGTGAGGGCGAAAATAACTATAATTTCTCTCAGGTCGTAGAATTCAAGGTTTAATATAAGGCCAAAGTTTTGACTCAAAACGACCGCTCGTTCATTCGCTCGCTCATTCTCGAACGCAGACCCGCAATTCACGAGGCTGACGCGAATAATTGTCGTTTAACATTGTTGTGTGTTGACAAATTTGCCCGGGGAAAGGATCTCGGTGAAGCCGGGAAGTTGACGTTGAGAGAGATCAGCGACGAGGAATTTCAACGGAGCGATTTCCCGCGGTGCGTCTCACGGATATGTCGACGTAATTACAAGCGCGAGCGCATTAATCATAATACTGCGATAGCGCAATTACCGTCCGTTTTACGACACAGAATAGTGGGGACCGTCTTTGCGCTGAGCCCGTTATCTCGACGTGCAGTTTCTTCCGTTCGAGAAAAGAAAAGAACGTAGGGTAGAAGTACTAATGTCCGGACGCGCACTTTATCACGAATATTCTTATTGTTTTGGATTCTTTTATTATTTTAATTGAGAGAAATTAAAATTAAAATCTTAATTTTAGAAAAAACTTTAAATACGAATATTTAAATTTTCTGTGTGTGTGTGGGTGTGTGTGTGGAATATGTGTACATTTAATATATATGTATTCAAGGCATATATTCTACATTTAATATATATGTATATATTCTATGCTAAAAGTTTGAATATTCGTGCTTAAAGTATTTTAAATTAAAAGTTTATATAAGTTTTTAATTGAAATATAAAAAAATTTATATAATAAGAATGTTCAGAGTTAGGTACGTGCCCAGGTATTGATATTTTCTTGAGCAATGGCCGTTGTCACATGTATGTGATTTCATTCTGTAGGCGATTATCGTCTTATAAAAAAATATTTCTCGGCAACACTTTACACATTCGTAATTTTATAGGAGCTATACAAGCATATACAAGCATATACAAGCATATACAAGCATATACAAGCATATATAAGCATATATAAGCATATATAAAGTTAGATACGCGTGTGTACAGATTTATGTGGGAGGATGTTTGTCTTTTTAAATACTGTCTGAGCGGAGCTGTCGAAATCTTTCGGCGGCGATCGTATATTTTTCCCCGATATAAGTGCGGCCGTCCGAGTGCTAAAGTGGTTCCCCTCGCGAAAGAACGCTGGCGAGACGCGCGAAACGCGTTCGTTTATCGAGAGGATCGGCAGAAAACGGCTGCGGTCACGTGAGAGATCGAGGGGTCCAATTGAGCCGCTGAATAATGCAGCGCTCGAGAAGAGAGATCCAGGACCCGTGAAGAGCATCGCGTGAGTGAAGCTGCCACCGAACTCCCCCGCAACTTCGCGTTAATTAATTCCGCCGCGAGATCTTGTAATTGCTTACCTCATATCAAAAAGCCGAAAGGAGACAAAGAAAGAGAGAGAGAGAGAGAGAGAGAGAAAGAGAAGCGGAGGCAGAAACTCCGGCTTTGAAGCGCGATTGCTCGCGTGTCCGGATTATTAAAAGTGGAATGAGCGATCCGGATGAGGAGATCTTTCGCGATCGACCGGCCGACGGATATTCGAAGCTTTCGCGGCGCGGAGAAATGCTCGATCTGGATTCCGACTTGGTGCCTTCGCGGCCTTTGTGAATCTGTTTCCGATGTCTCGCGAACGTTTCGATTCGCTTCTTCGGGGAAAAGAACTTGAAATTGATTTCAAGTTGTTTCTCTCCCTCTCTCTCTCTCTCTCTCTCTCCCTTTCTGGCGAAGTTTCGTGAACATTTTAGCTCGTTGCTTCGAGAAGAGAGACAATCTGAGGCTGATATCAGGTTTCTCCTCTCCCCGAAGAGATAAACTGCAATATTCACGAGAGAGGTCAGAGACAAAGTCACGAAGGACGCGGGGCGCCGGCATCCAGACAGGGAATCAGGTAACGTCGCTTTCAGGCCGCCGACGATTTCCTTCTTCGCGCGATGCTGATTAACACGCATGATTTCACGCGCGGAGGAATTTTACGCGACAGGAGGCGCTACTTCGGCGCGAAGTGAGTCGAACTGGTGCCCATTATGGGGACGCAAGACGAAAGATGCGCCGATGAAAGAGGACCACGGCTTTCTATCGTTTCACGACGCGGCCATTGTGCGCGCGCGAGGCTTATTAATTTCTCTTCCCGCATCTCCCGCGGCAGAAGTGGATTTCGAACGACAGCTGTAAACACATGTGGGACGTTTCACGCGTGGAGAAGAAGATATCGCGCGTCCGCAGGAGAGAGAGAGAGAGAGAGAGAGAG